TACATAGTATGTACAGTAGCATTTGTATACATAAGTGACGCTAGCAACACAGTATTGCTTTTCTTAAGATTTCAGAATATTCCTATACAGGCTTGTCATTGCAGATGTATGATCACTTCAATTAAAAGACTGAATTTTCCCTATAACTAATCTTTTTAACCTGGAGGAGCTGTGATTGCAATTTTGTAATCACTGTATTCTAAAGTGACTAAACATTCTTTGCCACAGCTAATCTCTGTGGGGCTGGCAGCAATAAATGGAAACGAGGAAGTCTAAATGCTCATTTAATTAGATGATATTGCATGGAAATCCAATGAACATCAATAAGAATTGACAAATTAAAGATAAAGATGTTCAATTGAGCATTTACTTCAAAATACACATCATCTTATTTTACACATAACCAATTTGGCAGTATGTTCTACCAGCTGGTTTCCATTAATTTCTCTTTTGTCTCACTTTTATAGTTTCCTCTCACCATACTACATCTAACTTGGCAAAAAGTCTATGTTTAGAGAATCCTGCACATGGATTGACAAATGTCAATCTGCACTCCCACAATTCGACTGATCCCATTGTATAAATCAGGAATATTACTGAACATAGGTAAATATGTAGCAATCAGAAGTTCAAGTCTTCATTTGGGACGATTACTGGTCCTCTTCAATTTGCTGTCTAGTCAACAGTGAGAAGTTATTGACATACAATTAAAATTGATTTAATTTAAAGGCACTATGGCTTAACATTAAGTAAAGCAGATCTTGAGAAACTCAGGGATAATATATAAACCTGCCTCCCAAAATAAGAACTATTCTCAATTCCAATACTTCTCTGCAATGACAAACCACTAGATTCCCCACTAAAAAGTCCTGGTATGTCCAATGTGCTTTGCAACATCTCACCCATTAGCTGTTAAATTCAGGCTCTCCTCTTGTTTCCATACGGCTTCCAGAACCAACTGAATTCAAATAGCACATTTAAATATAACCACAATTCCTCCCCAATTTTAGTCTACAGCCAGGAAAAGAATTCACAGCAACACTTACATCAGGAGCTTTACGATTATCAATATTGTACTAATACACCATCTTTCAAATGAAATTAACGGATTCTTGTTTCCCCTATTCTACAGTCAATTTATTTTACACTAGTAGTTTCAACTTCTATTTGGCAATTTTCTTAATTTGAAATAAGATTCTTACCTTGCTTTCTCAGTCTCCTCCATCCTCCAATTGAGGCCAGGTTGGGTTTTTTGGCCAATCTGGAGAGTGAACACTGGACCTGATCTGATCATATCATTGAAGTGACCAGAGTAGACTGAAAAGTCTAGCTGATATTCAGCTGCCAGAATTGGCCCAAGAGGTAGCACAGGAAGTTGAGCAACAAAACATTCCATTTAGCAGCACTCAAAATGTTAAATAAAATTAGAAATAACATAGGTGGTGAGACAAATGGAACTGATCTCGACCTCAAAGCGTTTTCACCTTCAGAAAACAAAAGCTTAGTTTTGGGGATCATTTGTACTTTATCTGCATCATGCAGCATTTTTCTTCAACCTACAATTTCATGAAGTTAACTTTTACTACCCACCCCATAAAATTTAGGTAGCCAGAGAAATACCTTAACTACCTTTGCCAGTCTCTCTTTACTAATCAGTTCTAGCTACCATGTGCTGCAATTTCCAGTTGGAAGGCAACTGGATCTGCTCCCAACAGCAGAGTGTGAACTGCTATCTGCAGAAAGCAAAGCGAAAATGACTAGGCTCAGATTCAAAGACGTCAAAATAATTAATTTACATAGTACACTTCACGTAGGATAACACTGGAGCACTTCACAAAGGTTGGGATGTTTGCTGAGTAAGGGGACATGACCATATGCATAGTCAAAGAGATGGGAAGAGGCTTAAATTGGGATTTAAAGATGGATAGAGGGCGACTAGGCAGAGTCACAGATGCAGGGAGTCCCAGAGGTGCAATGACTGAGGGTTTCACCTCTGGTGGCGACATGGAGGACAGGACGCACAGCAAGCTTGCGATATTGAATTCAAGATCCTCATCCTCACCTACAAGGCCATTCACGGCCTTGCTCCCTCCTACCTCTCCGACCACGTACCTGTCTGTACCCTCCGTTCCTCTGGCTCCGGTCTCCTCCACATGCCCCGCCCCAACCACCCTACCATCGGTGGCCAGGCCTTCAGCCTCTCAGCCCCGAGGCTCTGGAACTCCATCCCCCAGTGCCTTCGTCTTGCTTCCTCCCTTTCCTCCTTCAAGGCCGGTCTCAAGACCTTTCTCTTTGACCGTGCCTTCAGCTCCCCTCTCGACTCTCTACCCCCTCCTCGCTCCCTCCCTTCCCTTGACCATTTCCCCCCTCCTCTCTCCCAACCTTCCCTCCCCGACCATTTTCCCCCCAAGGCTCGGGTCCTGAGCCAACTGTCCAGCGCCTTGGGACGTCCTCCTGACATGAAAGGTGCTCTATGGAATCTTGTTATTGTTGATATCTGAGCGGAGAGGGTTCAAGCAGATCAGAGATAGGGAGATGCTTGGAAGTGAAGGTAGCTTGAAAGTAGTTTACCTTTAAAATACAATTAAGCAATGACCAATATTTGTGGAGATCCTGAATCCATCAAAATTATTACTCTTCTTTCACCATAAGCCCTTCCAAATGGCCATGAGTTTGACAGACATGACCACAGCAGGTCAGAAATTCTACCATGATGACATCTTGCGAATGAGTGTGAGGTGGCCAAGGTGCTGTGCTCATCACGTCAACATAAATCAACAGATTTCATAAAAACTGGAGGAAACAACTTGTATTTAAACGGGTTACCATATATTTAAGGTCAATAAAGTAAGTCCATTATTTGGATAACTATTAGCTTTTTTTGAGATTATTGAAAGTCAACATCTCCAACCTTCCAAAAAAGATTCACTAAAACGTTTTCCATTTGCAGCAAAATTCATGTGGCAGGGAAAGAACAAGAAAGTTGAGAAAAAGGAATCAGGAAGTGAAACAATGCTCATTTCCATTTATCATTTTGTTTCCATTCACCTTCCAAACTGGAAGTACCCCATGCCAAGTTAGCTATAGAGGGGCTGACAAATTCTGTACATTATTTTGTTGAAAAGGTAAAGAAAAACCATAGTTTTCTGGCCAACAGTTCAATTTAATAAGCAATTTACTTACCCATCAGTTATAAAAAAAACTCTTAGGCATGACACAGAAAAATGTCAGCTATCTATCAAATTCAAATTGATTGCTGATGACAAAAACTCTTATTACTTTGCAATCTGATTGGAGACGTAAGGAGTGATATCTCCACCATAAAACATCGAAAGCAGCGATCTCAGTTAAGTATTTGAACTCAAGATACAGAAGATGTTAACCTCAAGATAAAACAAAAAGTTTCAGGTACACAGGTCGATATAGTATTATCAGAGCTTGATAAACTCTGCCTCAAAAAGTTGGCTTATCCCCAATGTGCAAATAGTGAGTCACAAAAGCCATTCCTCTGGAGTTCAACAAAATAAGTGTGGATTTTCTGTTGTGAGCTCACATCCATTAGAAATAATTGAGACTACCCAAACTGATTTTATACATGACTTTTCCAGCTCCCAGGATACCGGAGAACATACATTTATCAAGCTTAACCGGATCAGTTTCAAGCAAAAATTAAATGAAAACAACTAAAAGTAGATTATTTAAAAACAAGCTAATTATAGATACAGAAAAAAATTGCACAGGACCTTTTCTACAAAAAAAATTATAATTTCACACAGGCATTTATTGGCTTCTCATAATAGAAAGTTATTTTAGGGATGGGATCTTTTGATAAATTATCAAAGCAGCCAAATATGAACTGTAAACTCACGATAACTCATCACTCCAAGGGAAAGAGTCTCAGAAACTAGTCATCCGGACTGGCAAGTTAGGCATAGGTCCTCCCAGGCCAAAAGGTGACCACCCAAACCCACCTCCGAGGTATTCTGTCACAGGATAAGGAAGGAAGCCATAGCAAAATCCTCCAATAACAGAGAGGCCAGAGGCCTCTGCGGTACAACTAAGCATGCGCACATCAGTCACAGAATAGGTTGTGAGGCCTCCACGATGCAAGATGTCACTTTATAGGACAAATTATTCGAAATAAGTACTTACAAGACTTCCTATATTGCAACGAGTTACTTATTAAGTGGGGCAACAAGTCCCTTAACATTTTGAAATGGGAAGCAGTGGGATTTTGACAACATGACTACTTAAGTAGCAGTGACTTGGTCTTGTTATCAAGAATTTATTGTACATATATACTATAAATGACTTATCCGTTGAAAAACAATTTCCACCTCATATTTTGTACAAGCAGAAACTCAAAATCTATCAGTAATGAAGGGTATCGGCACAGAGAGGAAAAAAATGCCTAAATAATCCTAAAGCCACAGTCCTGATTATAGATATCAGCTTCTGTCATGTAGCAACACAAATCCAGAGTGCAAGAAGCCCCCTTTGTTTTACTTCCATAGCTTACAATATTGTTTATCCAATTGTTGTTAATAAAGCCAAACTATCCTGCCACCATATTATCATATTCTAATTACTGATAATGCTCAGCTTTAGCAACACAACCACTGGATCAAACCCATCCCATATCATTATCCTTTAAAAGCAAACATTATGATTTATTTAGAGATCCAGTTTAGCGGAAAATTGATAAAATTAGTACTATGAATAAGGGTTCAGTTGCAAAATCAAACTTCACTAACCAGTCAATTTTTTTTACAAAACTGAGTATCATTTCAATGTCAAATTAATAAATCTGGTAATATAAATAAATTGTACAAGATTTTTTTTTAAAAAATCACTGAAACTGCCTGAAAAAGTTCAGAAGCCTCAACTCCCTTCCCCCATAAATATATCATCTCCCTTAAAGTTACTAGAAACTGGAACTACTTTTATCAGGTCCTTTTACATTCACCTTCCATCCAAAAATAACTAGGAACAGAATTACAGAAGTTTCAAAACAGAAATGTTTAATTAGCTGCTTTGAAATGAGCAGCAACAGCAATACAAGAACTTCTCTGAACAAAAGTACAGTTAGGGCAGTAAATGAATACATTACAAAAACAGGAAAAATTGCTGAGAACTTTATCTGCATTTTCAAGTGTGGAATGGTATCTTTGCTTGATGTCTCATTCAAAATAAGATTGAAAAAGGCTGAAAATCTGAACAGGTGGGTTTATGTTTGATTTACATTTCCTGTAAATCAGGCCCACGTTCGAAGGCATTTGTAGACCTATGCAACAAACCCACATTTCTCAGAGATATGATCAAAATATGCTTTAAACCATCAAAGATTATGGAATTGTGTTATTGGACTAAAAGTTATACTACGCCAAATTAACTTCTACAATCCATATTTAAGTAGTATCAATTATTTAAAACATAAACCCACCTAAGCCCATCTCTTATTTTCCCATTGTAAAATACCAAACGCACTAGGCACAAAAGCCATCAGCAATAGAAAATAAGTACACAAAGCTCTTTAGATTCAGATTTTACCATCTGAAATCACTTAAAAAAAATTCAAATACGTCACAAAATATGAAAATTATTCAGGACTGTGTAATTGGAGAAGGCTGCTGAAGTAGCTAAACAAATATCAAAATAGTAACATCCAAATGTGTATCCTTGCCAATTTCTCTGCAACATGTAATACATTATGTACATTGTTGATTACTGAACAGATCATGCACATTTACCAAGACATCCAACAGGAAGTTAAAAGAATATTCAAAACAGTAATTTAAAATATCAAAGACCTTATATGTACTAAAGCTCATTACAACCGATACAGTCTGCAAAAATACTTAAAGCCAACTTTAAGTGGAATGGCTAAAGGCTACTGTACTTTCAAGGTCTGCAATTAGTATCTACGGCGTTTTGCACCAAACTCTCCAACTTGATTTCCACGAGGAAACCCAGCAGGGTTTCCAACCATCGGTCCACCCATGTTATTTGCTTGACCATCCATACCTCCAGGAACAAATCGATCATTAGGCTATTTATATTTAGTCAATTATATAGAATTGATTAATGTTCATTGCAAGTCCCACGTAGAATTAACATTAGGCAGGTTGATATTCCCAATGGAACGATGAAAGTCAGCAGAGTCCAGAAGTACCGATAAAAAAAGGAAAGGGAAAGGCGTAACGACGTTAGACTTATCTAAACAGAAAATGTGGAAAAACACCCTTGATTCGTTGCCTTCACATAAAGTTTCCCAAAACTTGAAAATATTGCTCTCAAGATGAAATAGACTAAAATTAAGATCAGAAAAGTTACAAAATCTGTTCAACTTTTTTTCTGAACTCAATAAATAGTCCATGGACCATAAAACATTGAATACTTCTGTTCAAATATTACCATTTTCATAGTTCATAAAATGCTGTGTTCCTCAAAAATGTCTATAACCTCAGCTTTGAGTATTATGATTCACACCATGTACACGCCTTCGTAGATACTAGCTAAAGCATGTTTCTCTTAAAGGAGTTAAAAGGTGGAAAATATATTCAAGTGAAATATTGAGACACCGTAAGATCACCAACTTGAACACAAAAAAGATTACAGAATCGTAGCATTACTAAACACTCCAAACAGATTCAAAACTGTTTAACCCTTGATTAGTGAAAGGTTGCTTTTACAGTATACAGATTTATCTTGTAAATGTAGAAACATCCCATCAAGCCCATCTTGTCCAATCTATTTCACCATTATTGTAGTCTACTGTAATGTTATTGCCTGCTTTAGAACGTCTTGTCTCAATTCAATACACAAGCAGTGATTTTATAATCATAATTTTGCATTCCCTCTCTAAAAAGCATAACCAATATAAGTTGCACTACCTATCAAGACAATCTGTTTATTTATACATATAGGATGCCTTCAGCTGTCACCTATTTCAAATAGCTATTCAGCACCAGCAACCCTGCCTTAGTAAAACACTACGTAAGATTTCACAAAAATACTTTTCAAAAATAGTAAGTCGATCACTAACTGTCATCAACAAGTTCTACAAACCATGTTTCATAGATTTAACAGCGTCTCCAGACACAAGTCTTATGACACATGAATTGCTGAAATGCTTCCCAAGCAAGTAACCAGCCATATCAATCCAACAGGAGATAAAATCACATTTTGTTCCAATTATAATGCACCATGGAACAAGTAACAATAAGCAATGGATTTTGAAAAACTAAAATCAATATTTTTCACATTTATATATATGAATGTGACAACTGGTAGAGAAATAATAGGAAGAGGAAATCATCTTATTTGCAAGATACTGCTGATTCTAAACTGGAGTTACACAAACCAGGTTTAGCTGAATACCTCTGGTTGTACTGAGCTAGTTTCTCTCACTTTCGAATGTTACAGTAAAACTCACAAGTTCCATCAATGTGGACCATAACATTTAATATGACTTTCGTGATGTAAGAGTTACAGGCAAACCTGCGTAAGCTGTATAAAATCAGATTTAACCAATAATCCACACTGCGAATGCATATTACAATGCAGCAAGTAAGTGCGCATGGGTCAGAACTTCATGTCTCACGATTCAAATGTATTAGCTTGGGCGCGTGTACAACTTACCGATTAAACAATTTATAAAGATAAGATTTATGCGAGTTTTACTGTAGCACAGAAACAGCCCACTCAGCTCAGCAAGTCTTCCAAGTATCTAGCTCCTTCAAAAAAAATGCACAACTTACTTCAACAACAATCTAATTATGTTCTGTCAAGTTTTCTAACACCACACCTTTTAATTAAAAAAACTTCAACTGTGAAGTTAATGACTTGACACGTGGAAGTAATCCAAATGTACCTACCCAACTGTAATCCTTTACTTATCTTCCTACCCAAAACCAATCATGTCTAGTAATATTCTAGAGAGTCTATGCTTCACCTTTCCCATTCCCCATATCATTCTTAAAATGGGGGTGCCTAAAACAACAAGATTACATTTGTATAGCGCCTTTCACGTTGGGAGGTAAAACCATAGACACTCAGAACTACTAGTTCAACCTGTATTTTTCCAAGAAAATTAAATCCCTGCATAAATGCAACAAGTTCAAGTCTCCCGAGCAAGCTCCTATAATCAAGTAATTCCTACTCAACCCCCTTTTTTTTAAATATATAAACGGTCAGCTGCCACAAATCTGGGTCACTTATGTGATCTCTCTTCTTCCCTCAGTCTGCTCAACTGGTCTTCACACACACTCTCCAAGATTATGAATAAGAATGGACAGTTAGTCGAGCTTCCAAAAGTGGTTGTCACTGAAACCAAACTAGTTTATAACTGCATTTCAAATATTCAATGGAAATTTCTGCTTACCCAACCATACAGAACAGTAGCTTACATTCCTAACTTTTACACTATGTACATATTTAATATATAAAAATGTACATCAGCCTCGGTATCTATTGGTTTCAGGGATGTGAAATCTCATTTCTTTTCCAGAGACTACTGTTAAAAGTGTACACAAAGAGGAAACATTGAATGGAGAGGAAATAACCTTTGACAATGGTAGTTTAACATCTCAGCTCCAGGCTGGCAGGCAGGAATAGTTGCAGTGCTTAATGCACACATTATCTTGAAATGGGGATTGTAGAGAGGGCAGGAGTCGCAATAGCAACTGTGGTGATACACAATTTTTTTAAACCAATTCTGGCTAACAGCAAGAAGTTGCTGGCACAGAGACACTCCTAGTGTTTCTAAACCAGCCCCCCTCCCTCAGTGTGCGATAGGCCAGCAACCACCCAAAAACAACAAATCACCATATCACCTGGTTGTCTACAGAAAAATGGCAGTAAAATTAATTCAACTTCAATGACATGCTTGCTTTGATTTAGAATACCAATGTGTACTTAGAAAATACTACACTTTGTTTAAGTACTTATGGTGCTTCATAGTCAACACTGAAACTACTTGTGAAGCATACTTCAAATTTCTAGCTAGATATTTTGTCAGATGGTAATATTGATGTGCTCAAATTGGCTGAGTTTACAATTTGTGAATTAATTATAGTCCCTAATTGGTAAGGATTTTTTCTAGGATCACACACATTGAACAGATGAAAATGGTAATATCACATAAAGCATTTATTCAAATACTTAATAGTTTAAAACATCTATTTGGTAATTTAACTTCACTAAAGCCCAAGTATTGTACAAGCTCGAAATCCCAGGCAGCCTACAAAGTCATTTACGACCTTAACAGACTGCTATAGTACACGTTTATACCAATGTAACATCAGCTATTTTGAAAAGACAATAATTCATTCCCCATAGTTATGATCACCACCAAAAAGGTGGCAGTAACGATACAAATAAACGATTCAAAGAGAAGGATATTTCTATCATCCTTTCCCAAACTCCACTCATTGAAGTTACTTTCACACACCAAACAGAATAAAGTAACAGATGAGTCTTCAATCTTTTTCTGAATAATCGCTGTCCCTTAGTAAATGTCTTCATATTGCATACAAAATTCAGTAATTCAATGAAATGGTGAAGAGTGATTGTCTCAAATTTAGACCTAACTGATATAAGAACTTGTAATTCTTGATGTAAAAAAACACCCAACACATGAATGAATTACTAAAGGAAAACATCACATTCGTTACTTCATTTTAAAGTAGAGAAGCTTTCATTATCAATCAGCCTACAAGTTACCCAGCTGTTGTAAAAATTCACGAACCTACTCACAACTAAAACATTGCAGAAGATATTGTGCAACTACAATTGGTCTTCAAAGTACAGTGGTGTATGGAAATGAAGGCTATAGGTTGGAAAAGCAAGACAGAAACTAGAGGTAACCATGGTTCCCTTTGTTTCTTCTTACAGCATAAAACCTTTCCTTTTATTCACAATAAAGCAAGTGAAGAGTTTGGCATATAGCCTCTTAACAATATAAGCACTCGATTACTGATTATATTTTAAGAATGTATCCAATAGCAGATGTGATGGCATCAGAAAAGGTGTACAATAACTGAAAACCACAGCAGAAAAAGCAGACTCATCAAGAAATACCAAAAGTACAGTAAAACTGTGCTGTAACCCTATTTCAAATAGTTTCTCGTGCATTTAAAAATAAAGTTGTTCTACACCATAGTTTTAAACATCTTTCCACAAATGAAACAAAAATATTGGGTTTTTTTTTTAAGTTGATGGAAGTAAAATATAAGCAAACTAACAAGTCAAACTAGTCATGTCTCAATAAAAGTGTATGCCACTCAATTGCCAGGTAATAGTTTTCCAATTTGAATATATTTGTTTACAAGAATTCACTGGACACTTTTGTGCATGTTAAATGAACTACCTTTTTAAGCTTTCAAATTTCAAATCAGCAAATGGCAAGGAATAACAGGAAAACAAGCCTTCATGACAACTCCAATCATGACATTAACAAGTGCATTTTAAGAATGGAATTCGAACACCAATTATATATTGATCAATTCTTATATCCCAGATTAATCAGGATTTCCATGGACAAAACAAAAATATTCTACATATCAATTTTCAAAAAGTTCAACAAACCAGATTACAGTGCTTCCTTTTAGGGGGCCATTTTAGGGGGTAGTTTAAAGGAATACCTAGCATTATTTAATTATTTATGTATTTTGAACCCAATGAAAAACATTGCACTTGTAGCAGCCAACTGGTCAAGAACTACGACTTGCACTAAAATCAAAAATGAGCTGTTTCAAAAAATATCAGTAGTTTTCCATGGGCTTTCAACCAGTGCCATAGAGTGCCAATCTAGCGCTCCCAATGCTTGGAAAGTATTTTTAACCAAAGGTTTTCTTCCTCGGGCTGACAATTTACAACACAAGGGCAATTTTATCTATTTTACATATTGCAATACATTACCATTCCCATGTTGCCTTCAGGCATTTGGTTTCCCAGGTTTCCAGGTGGTCCTTGTGGATTTGCTGCATTTGCACTCACAGCTCCTCTGTTCATTCCCATAAGTGGCTGCGGAACTTGGTTTGCAGCAGCTGGGAATAGAATATTTTTGATAAAGCATGGGCATAAAATACATTAGCCAATTTTTAAGTCAAGTACCTGGCTCACAAAAAAATGTTACTTTAGCAAATTAACAAAGATCAGCTTCTATTTCTACACTGAAACAATTGCTTTGCAAATGCAAGGAATTCTTAAAAAAAATTCAAACTTATAAAATCAACTTCTTAGCAAATACATTGCAACACCTGAATTTCTGGCTCATTTTACAATACAAGAACATTAGACATAACTCAAGAATGACTTGTTCAAGATCTTATTTAAACCATACCTGCTTTTAGATTAATAAATTCAGCTGCAGTCAGTCCCACTGAAAATAATGGAAATAGGGAACAAAATATATATCTATATGTTGTATTTCAATCTACAGACTGAAGAATCCCTGAAATATTCATCGAGATGAGAAATTGGTGTAAGAATTAACTACTCTTGTAACACAAGATAAATAATTCCCACTTATTCATTTCTTAGCTTTTAACTTTTTTTTTAAAAAAAGGAAAAGGTCTAACAGAGTAGCTATTCCAGAATCATGGGACTTCAGAGGCATTTGTACAGCAGAGACCTTTCCTGAAAGCACAATTTCTGGTTGCAATTCTCAAAATACAAAACACGACTGGTCTGAATGAACCATTGCTTGTTTCAAATAATGAAACCATAAAATTGATCCCACTGACACATAGTCAAGAATGCACTATGCCAGGCTTAATTAGTATAGTATTTTGGAGGATACATCAGTCCCAAATGGGGCGGTGGGGGGTGTGGATATTTACTCAAGGACCCAAGAAGGAAAACTACTTTGACTTATTTATGGATTGTTCAAAAAAACTAATTTATGCTCATTAGGTACAAACTTAAAATTCACTTTACCGTATATTCCATGAAGCACTTTTAGACATCTATAAGACGTGATAAGGTGTCTATATCACATGCAAGGATTATTATATTTATATTGTTATTTATTCTCAACTTTTAATGACTGGCAACAGATCTACAGACACCAGTTCAGCTTTATCACATTAATCCCAAACTATTAAAATACAAACACAATTTGTTTGCACAAATGTTTAAATGAAACCAATCACATCATGACTCTTCTCTCTTATCAACTTATTTTTCTACCTTTAAAGGCAGCATAATGTAAATCACTCTGTACAATTGTGGGGCAATTGCAGAATCTGAAGTCCTTTCCAGTTTGCATATCCATTTAAGTAATATGGATACCACAAAATGGCTAATTACAGCAAGACGTTTAGAAATCTAAAATCGATATGACAAAAATGCAGTCTTAGAATCTTACCTCCTATTGGTATTCCACCACGTTGACTCATATCCTCCATCCTCAGATTTTCTCTCTGAAAAGAGATTGATTGTATGCTTATTTGTATATTAATTTGGATTACCATTCAATACAAGTGAGTATCTTAGTTCATTCCATGTTCTATATTGTGCCTTCCTCATCTATTCAGTTGAAAATGATGCTTTATCTTCTGTTAAAACAATGTTCGTTCACTCTATGACCAATACTCCCTGTACCTCAAGGTCACAAATTTTGCTGCTTTATAACCGAAGTGGGGAAAAAAATTATAGCAGCTCTTTCCTTTGTGACGAGTACCTCCCCCAGCCGCACACACCACTGTACAAATTAAACCACCCCACGGGCATCTCATTCACCCCTAAAAACGTCCAATAAGTTCAAATGAAGTCTTCACAAACTAACATTTTCACCAAAGTTTCCCCTGAATCCTTCCTGCTGTCTTCTCATCATCTCTTCCTTTTCACGTTGACGAAGAAGCATCTCTTCTTCACGTCTTCTCCGTTCCTCTTCTTGCCTGCAGAGAAGCACACATTCAGTTGAGTTCAATGACCAACTTTTAAAAAAATGATAGACTAATTTTTCATAAGTCTGAGTTACAAAAAGCAATTAACACCATTAAAACTGTTGAAAATAGAGCTAGCCAATTCCTCATTTCAAGCAATAAACATAAATCTTACATTTTATTGATTTTTTTAATATTTTCTACAGAACGGGTCAGGAATTTAAGACAAATTAAAACTGGTGGTATACGAATCCATGAAAGTGAAATAGTTTTATTATTCATATAATTAATTGGATATACGAGTGCGAAGGGATAAAGAGGCATAGGTAAGGGAATAGGAGGATTGAGGGCTTGTGTAATTACAAATAGTACAGATTAATTGGACTGTTTTTGTGTCGCATCATTCTATGTAACAATTCAAATTGTATAGGTTTGTCATAAAATTATATTTTGTTTTTGAAAGGTGATGAAATTTCACAAATGTGGTGTAGCTCATTCGTGGTTTCAATATTATTTACCTCAACTCCATTTGCTTTCGCTTCTGTAACTCCTGATTATGAAGTTCTTCCATACGCCTCAACTCTTCTTGACGCCTCATTAAATCTGCTCAGGACAAATTGTGTTTATTAAAAATCTGCAAATTAAGAAATGTCCTAAAAAGTTAATTTTTGTACGATAAACAGTATGTACATCTGTGAAATGTTTTCTCATCTCCAGAAGTAAAAAAATCAACAAAAATGGTACTAAAATTCTCACCAGCTACTAAATAAATGTATGTTTGTGGGGGGGGGGGGGGGGGGGGCGGGGAGAGGAACAATCCAATTGGAATACAACACACATGGACCCCCAGGAACACAGACGTTGACCCCCCCAGGAACACAGACGTTGGAGTCAGAGTGGAGTTCCTACATGTCAATGAACATAATGCTTATCACCACAAGTTGTACCCATTTGCACATCTCTAATCCCTCAAAATGATTCCTATTAGAAGCCCAACACATTTTATACCATAATACTCCAGCCTTTCAGGTGAAAATAATACTAATACTAGGAAGCTATATTTCAACACGTTTCAAACAAAACTCATGATCATAACTTTTACAACTAGGTTAAGTGGACATTACCCAAGTTGCCCCCGAAATCCCCTGAACACATCAAACCTGTAAATGGCCATTACAAAATGGCTGCTGCTACATTTAAAATGGCAACGATTAGTGATTATGTCAAAGTGGTGATGAAACAATATTCAAGCGCAACGTGACACTGGGGAATAGTTAGGCTCTGATCCCACACATACAAAGACAGAAACAAAGTACACACTAAACATTGGGGCTTGATGTAACAACATGTAACGTAGGTTTCAGAGGAAGAAATCAGCTCCAAACACATCTATTTTTGTGTTTCAATGGTTCATAATGTTGATGGTTATTCAATTTAAAACAGCATCGCAAAATTTTCTACCAGGTCTGAAACGTACTTGCATTCTCATAATTTCACCCAAAACTCACTCAACATGCCATACTGCATTTAAGCACTGGACAAAGTCCTAAATGTCTCCTCTTCCACCCCCCCACCACACAACAAATCAATTAGGCTGATTTTACTTTTCAATCATACACTGTCAACCCACCTTGCCTCATCAGCATAACTTGGTGCTCATGTCGTGCAGCTTCCAATTCTACTTCCAGTTTCTCTCGTGCTTCCTTCACATTTCGGTCCACCTGATCTTGTTGTTGTTTCTCCATTTCAAGCAGAGCTTTCCACCTCATGGCATATTCATACTCAAATGTCCCAGGCTGACCAAATCGGGGAAGCTGTTCCCGTTCCCTTTGAAAACAAATCAACCAAAGACTTACTGTTATCCAACTGATACACTGGCCAAGTATTGTGCAAACTAATTCAATACTGTCCCGCCAATGCCTCAAGGAAATCTGAATTTAGGACAACTGGAAGAAACCCATACTGATCTTGCAAACAGAACAGATCATGGATCCTCAACTGGTTCAATTAAGCACTTGACTGGGGTGGATTGTTTAGACAATACTAAAGAATGTCTTATATTAATTAACAATCTGGTTTGATATTATGAAAGTTACATCTATTCAAAACAATAGCCTGTGCATACTTGTGATAGTGTTGATTTTTCTGGACCAGTTTCTCTGTAAGCCCATCTTCATCATCATACTGCTCCATTGGTTCAATAGTCACAGGTCTTGGAAATCTAAAAAGGAGAAAGAATAACTACCATAAATATACCATAATCAACTCTGTACTTGGTATTATCTTAAGATAGTAATATTTTTACATTCCCAGTTCCATCAATGACAATCCCCTTAAAGTCCTAATTTTTAAAATAAATTATGGGATCTACAGTTTTTGGTCAATTAAGTTAGTAACTTTTTAATTTCACCAAATGATTTCGAAATAAGGAATTTAGATGTGGAAAACCATGATTCAAACCTACTAAAATCCCAAGAGAATTTTAACAAAGAATTGAGAGGCTCAAGACACTGAACCTTAGGACACCAAATTTCATAGGCAGTGCCAGCTTTAAACATTGCTGAAATATTTCTCCTTCACATTGCCAGGGCATTTGCTCTGCTGCTTGACATCTTTTTATAGAGTGTTGTGGAATAGACAATCGTAAAACATCACCATTCTATTCTAAAATCTGGCATGTCTGTGTGCCATTCAAGTCTTCAATTCCACGCCAGGCCACACAGTAATTTGTTGGCAATCAATTCAATCCCATTGTCTCAAGCTCCTCTTTTATATGCCTGCATTGTTTATTTGAATTTTGTTTTTAAAAAGTAGCTTTTGTTGTCTAATTCATACTCCAAAAGCAGTGAACCAGTTTATATTTAGGTACGATCCTGCAAGTGAAAAGTTCAAGATCACAGAACAAGGGTTTAATAAAGCCAGAAGATCACTCATGGAGACTTAGCTAGAAGTACAATCATAATATTGGTCTTGCATTTGCTTAATATTTATTAATATTCTGCTAATGTCACATCAATTATGAATATGGCATTTACTTACGCTGTCAGTAAAAATGCACCATCTGTACATCTGTCCAACGCCTTTCGAGCAGCAGGTTTTGCTGCAAACTCCACGATGCCTTTGCCAGTTGGCTTGCCACGATCATCTACAATTACCACTGCTCTCTCCACTGGTCCAAAGATTGAGAACGCTTCATCCAACAGTTCATTTGATACAAACTGAGGAAGATTCTTCACCGTCAGAGCTGCTCCATGTGTTGCAAATCGAATTCTTATCTGCCTTCCTCTCAGTGTAGTATCATCGAGCTCTGCTTTTGCAATTTCAGCCAGAGTCCTGGTTTCCTACATTGAATATTTCATCAATTGTTAATTTTGAAGATTCAAAATTTGACATTTAGGCCATCTGAATGTAAACATCTTTTGCGAAGGACAACAACTTGAAGAAGTCCCTCATTTAAAGAGTAACTAAGAAACAAAATTTCCCACAAACAGTTGTGGATTGAGTGACCATTTTTTTTTAAAAGGAATTATTACCCCTGGAAAAGCAATCCACAAATTGACTAAACAACCGGGTTCCTAAACTAAGGAACTATATAAAGTGAAGAGTAGAATATACATCCTCCAAATTCAGTACAGTATTTTTTTTTATTCTCCATCAGTTGCAACATGGATTTTTTTTTACACACTGGTGCAGCTAATCTAACGTGACTGCTAAAACTTGCGAAGAAACATGCGTGAAGAACTGCTCGGAACAATGCAAGGTCATCAAACGAAATACACCAAGTCCGGGTGCACTGCGCCAGAGCAAACACAATTCCCTTTACAGAAAACGTTGCAATCTCTCCTGGAGCACCGAGAAGTCCAGGCGAGAATCTTTACCACTCAGTTCACAAAAAAACAATCCTTACTACTTCAACATTAACCGCACCTTGGGTACAGGTTCTCTTCTCTACCCCCCTTTCTCCCCCCCCCCCACCACTGATGCTCAACACCCAGAAGGACGCATTTCTCAAAAAGATTAAATCAATGGCGGTTTTGTTCGGGGGGAACGGGGAGGAAGAGAACGTGCCATTTTACACCGGAAACCTTCGGCCCAGAAAGGGGAGGTTTATTTTTTTTAAAAAAACTTCAATTCAATTTTTTTTGGGGGGGGGGGGAGGGGGGAGAGAGAAAAAAAAATGAACGTATCTGCGGCTGTAAAAATATATTCCGTTTAGCCCTCAAAAGGCACAGTAAAAAGCGGCGGAATCGACCTGAGCTGCAGCCTCGATGTTACAAGTGTGGGGAGAGAGGGGGGAGAGAGAGGGGGGAGAGAGGGTGGGGTAAGAGAACAAAGAGAGGGGTGGGGAGAGAGGGGAGGGGGGGGAAATGTGCCGCTCACCAGCCGGATAAAGCCGAACGCTTTATCTTTGTTAATGAAGATTTCAGACGGCTCCCCGTACTTCTCGAACATCTTCTTGAACTCCTCCTCGGACACGTCGTTCGGCAGGTTACCCACGAAGAGCCGGCAGCGCTGGGTGTAGGTCTTCTCGCCCGGCTTGCGGAAATTGGTCAGGTCGACCGTGATGGCGGGGCCGGCCGGGGCCTGGTCGCCGCCATGTTGCGCCGCCGCCTGATGGTGGTGGTGGTGCTGGTGGTGGTGGTGGTTGTTGGCGGGCGTTTGCTCCTGGCGGTGGTCTCGCTTCCTCGGGCTGTTGGTATCCCCTCGGTTCCTCCCTCCCGGTTTCTGCATGTGGTCCTGCATGATTCTGGGATCCGGACGGGGGGAGAGAGAGAGAGAGAGAGAAAAATATATTAGTAGGAAGGGGGGGGGGGAACACGAGGCACCGGGGGAGGGAGGGAGGGAGAAGGCGATGGCCGTTGCTCAATCTTTAATGGCGGACGTTTGAAAAGCTTTTTTTTCTTCTGACGCTCAAACTGATTCCAAACAGTCGGTGAGGCCTTCAAACGCGTGTTTTTTTTTGGGGGGAGTGGGGGGGGAGGGCGGGGGGGGAGGGGGGTGTGGGGAGTCCGCTGAAAATATTCGGTCGGGCTAAAGTGTTTTTATTTTCTATTTTTTTTCCCCCCCCTTTTCCCGCCTCCTCTCGGCTAACGTACCTCAGCGATGTCGGCGGCTCCCTCCTTCTCGCGAATGGCAGCGGAGGCGGCCGCGCGCGTCGACCTAACTTTGAAGGCGAACGTCAGCCACTCCGCTCTCCTCCCGCCCCGCCCCGCCCTCCGACCTCTCTCTCTCCCCACCCCCACCCCCCTCCGCCCCTCGGATTGGCGGGAGGCCGCGGCGACGTCACAACGGGGCCAGAGCGCGCTCGGCTGCTCATCGGTCGGCGCCGCTGTCACTCAGCAAACCGCCAGCACGTTTGTGCGAGCGCAGGGGGGGAGCTCGGGAGGCACGTGCTGGCCTCTCCGCGGCGGCGCGGGCGGCGACGCGACGAATCGCGCGGTTCCGTTCGTTTCGGTTTCCGCGCCTCCGGACGGACACACGGCCAGGAGTGGAAAGACAACGGCTCGGCCGTCCTCCCGGCGCGTCTGGTCGCGCGGAATAGCGGCGGGAGTGGCACCTCTCGGGTGTTTTTTCCCGGAGATCTGGGCCGGCGGGGACCGGATTAAAAATTCTCTGTTTAGCAACTGCGGTTCTCTTGTCTTTCGCGCGCGGGAGGGCGTTCCCTCCGCGGTGGGGGAGTGGGGTTGCAATCTGCAACCTGATATTTTACAACGCATTTCCAGTGGGGAGTTCATCAATGGAAAGGAATGCTGCAGAACGAGTCCCTACGATAGCTTTACCCGTGTTGGTGGTTTTGCACTTTTTTAAAAAAATTCTCAAGTTGGATTCCATGATTCCCCCCCTCTCCCCTCCTCCCCCTCTCCCCCTCTCCCCAAAGTTTAACTCGTACATCTAACATCCAACCAAACTGTTGATGATGAAACCCGAGCCTCAGCAACACAGTGATAAATTCAACATCATCATGAAAAAAAATTATAAGCTCCTGTCATAAGTTAGCTTATAAATAAAGCTTTTTGTCCACACCCTGAGACATTCAATTCATGTTTGCCCCCAAGTGCACAGTCACTTCACATTACAGCCATGTCCTGGCCAAAAAATCTCCCAGATTAACTTGGGCCATTCACTACATGGCTGTTTGCGGTAGATTGCTGCGTGCAAATTGGCTGCCGCGTTTGTCTACACTGTCCACATTTCGCATTAAATCCTGTGAAGCTCTTTTGAGGCGTTCTTCCGATGTGAAAGGGCACTACATCAAATGCAACCGTAATATTTTTTTTACTGAAAATTAGATTTGAACATACCTATCATGAGGCTTGTCTTTTAACTGACTGTAAACTCTTTGTACAAAAGTTGATTGAGGGTACCCAAGCCACATTTTTCTTTCGCAGTCTTTTTACCACGTTTCCTGTTTCTGTCTTCTTTTTATTGCTCCGTCTTTTTCCGCAGGGGTTGATGAAGCTGAAGCTGAAATAGCGGAGGATTATCCGTTGAATGTGGAGGCTGGTGGGGTACAAGGTGAGGACTGAGGGCACCCTATCACAATTCTGGGAAGGGGAGAAAGGGTGAGGGCAGAGGTGAGGAAAATAGGACGGACACAGTCGAGAGCAGAATAAACCTCTGAGGTACAAAGGTTGAAGTACAGACAGGATGTGGAGCAGAGACTTGAGGTGAAGTGCACCCGGATATTGGAAGGTATACATGAAGCAAACATGAAAGCTAGAAAGATGCCAACGTGAAAGGCATCAATACCAAATGCAAGGACTATTACGGAATCCTGTAGCTCAGTGGTTAGAGCACTTGTCTCGCAAGTGAGAGACCCGGGTTCAATTCCTTGGGCAAGTTTCCTTACTCCACATGTCTGATAATAATCCGTCAAGATAAAAAATAATAATAAATTGGTCACTCAATCTACAACTGTTTGTGCGACACTGCTGTTGGCTGCCGTGTTTCGCCCACAAATATAGAGTCAATTCACTTTATAGTAATATCTGTGAAGCGCTTTAAGACGTCTAGAAGACTTGAAAAGTGCTATATCAAATGCAAGGATTATTGTTATTATTATTATTATTATTTGTTATTGTCCCGGGAGGTGCTTTGACACAGGCCCCACCCGCCACATGAAAGACACTGCATCAAGTGTACGTATTATGAATATTACTATTAAAAAAACAAGGCAAAATACTGCAGATGCTGGAAATCCAAAATATACACTTTGTGACGAAAGGTTTACTGACCCGAATCGTTAACCCGCTTTCCACTTCCCGAATATGCTACCTGACCTGCTGAGTGTTCGCAGCCACTTCTGTATTTATTCGATGAATAATTTATTCTGATTACCCAAGAAGTTCTGTGGGGGGGTGGCATTTGTGGAGTCCTGTAGCTCAGTGGTTAGAGCACTCGCTTTGCAACCGAGAGACCTGAGTTCAATTCCAGGCAGAGGGCGAACCCTCGGGCACGTTTCCTTACTCCACACAGAGCCTAATAATAATCCCTCCAAAACCAAAAACAATAATAAATTGGTCATTTTCAATCCACGAGTGTTTGTGGGAACATTGCTGTGCGCAATTGGCTGCCACGTTCGCCCACAAATATACAGTCAATTCACTTTACAGTGTGTTCTGTGAAGCGCTTTGGGACGTCCTCCCGACGTGAAAAGCGCTATATCAAATGCAAGGATTATTATTATTAATAATTATTATTATTATTATTTGTTTCACGGGAATAGGTGTTAAATCAAACATCAGGATTAGCATTGACCTGACCAGACCAGTCAGTAGCACTGTGATGCTGGTGGTGGTGGTGGGGGGGGGGGAGTTGTTTGCCAGCAGTAAAGATGGCCGCCGTGTGAGCCATCGATGAGTCACCGGAGGAGTTGCCAACACTCGCTGTTTCACCCGGAAATACACACGTGGAAGTCAACGGAGGGGGCGGGGAAGCACCGGGGGCGGTGAGTGAGGCACTCGGAGAGACCGGACAAGGGGTGAGTGAGTGTCCGGTGGTCAGTTTGACCCGTCCCCGGGGGAGGCGGCTGTTGTTGTTGCTCTCACCCTGGTAGAGGTTCCCCTCGGCCCTGTGGCTGCCCCCCTCCCCCCCAAATACCCCCCCACACACACACACCCAAAGCCTCCCTCCCCCTCCCTCACTCCCCAGCCCCCCCCCCTTCATTCCCTAGCCCCCCCCCCCCCCCCCGGCCCCCCTCACTCCCCAGGCCCCCCTCCCCCCCCCCCCTCATTCCCCTGGACCCCACCCCCCCTCACTCCCCAGGACCCCCTCAGCCCTCAGGCCCCCCTCACTCCCCAGGACCCCTCCCCCCCTCACTCCCCAGGCCCCCCTCACTCCTCAGGCCCCCCTCCCTCACTCCCCAGGCCCCCCTCACTCCCCAGGCCCCCCTCACTCCTCAGGCCCCCTCCCTCACTCCCCAGGCCCCCCTCACTCCCCAGGCCCCCCTCACTCCCCAGGCCCCCCTCCCCCCCTCACTCCCCAGGGCCCCCTCCCCCCTCACTCCCCAGGACCCCCCTCCCCCCCCTCACTCCCCAGGCCCCCCTCCCCCCCTCACTCCTCAGGCCTCACTCCCCAGGCCTGGGTGCCGAGGCTTCCCTTATCGTTTGAGATTGGATTGAGATCATCTTCCCAAAGTCTCCCCGAGATTAGAATCGTTCATATTATTATGATGTCAACCCCCCCCCCTGTTGTTGTTGTTGTTGTGGTGGTGGTGTTGTTGTTGTCTGTCTGTCAGTCCTGCCTTGTGTCCTGTCCAGAAGAAGGTCGGAGTGAACACACCAGAGAATTTACTGTCCTCTCTTGAGTGAGTCGGGCAATCGATTGAGTTAACAACAACAACAACAATGACAACAACAAAATGACATTTGTGTAGCGCCCTTTCAGGTTTACGTTGTCGTGGTGTGAGGTCGTAAGAGGTCCTAATTGTTTTCCTGCTCTTTTTTCTTCTTCGTTTTGTGTAAAAAAACACAGTCCTGGAGTTCCTGTTTATTATTTGAAAGAAGAGGTACTTGGCGGTCAATTTAATGCGGTGTCCGCTCTATGCTGCAAATTCACGCTGGTGTACCTGCTGCAGTGTAAATCTTGAGTGATTAAAATCGATTCGGGTTCTGTACAGAAATCGTTTCTTAAAGGCTTCTTGTGTTGTCGAATGGACCAGTTAATAACATTTAAGGAACACAAACCGAGATCGCTGGGAACACTCAGCAGGTCAGGCAGTATCTATGGAGGACTGACCCTTTGTCAGCTGCTCCCAGTGATCTCTGTTTTTGTTTCAGATTTCCAACATATTTTATGTTTTAAGAACTTTTAAGGGCCTTTTCATTTGTATTGTCACAGAGCTAGTCTCTGTAACGTTGTATGAAATTGAAGCGTTTAATCATAAAATGCAAGTTTATTGTTTTATCAATATATCTAAGTTGAACTGACTTACGTTTGTGACACTATGACTTTCTGTGTATCTTTTAGAGGCAAAGATGATTGCAGAAGGCAACTCGTTTGTGAAAGGTGTTATGTTTGGTGGACTGTTCTGTTTAGTAATCACCCTTTTTGGCAATACCAGAATGTACGGAGATTTGCCAAACCATCAACACCACCACCTACAAGTTCCCAATAAGGAGGAACTTCTGTCTCTACCAGAGGCAAAGCGTATAGAGCTAAGCCAGAGCATTCGTGTTTTATGCTTAGTCATGGTTCAACCAAAAGAAATTGGTTATTGGGCTGCTGTAAGAGATACGTGGACTAAACATTGTGACAAGGCTGTTTTTTATAGCCCAGAATCCATTAAAATCTTCCCATCAGTCAATTTAGAAACAGAAAACAAATGGATAATGACCAGGAAAGCTGTCAAACATGCATATGAAAACTATAAAGGTGATTTCAACTGGATCTTCTTAGTTGATTCAACTACGTTCGCAATAATTGAAAATCTTAAATTCTTTGTATTAAATAAAGACCCAGCCCAGCCTTTCTATATTGGTCATACTGTAAAATCTGGTGACTTGCAGTACGTTGAATTTTCAGCTGGGATTGTCCTGAGTATTGAAGCATTTGAAAGGCTTCATGAAGTTCTTGATGATCCTGTGAAATGCCCAGAACAGGAAGGTTTATTATGGAAGACGTCCGAAGATAAAGGACTAGCTGAATGCTTAAAATACACTGGAGTCTTTGCTGAAAATGCAGAAGATGCTGAAGGAAAAGAATTATTTAATACAAAGTCTGTAAGCACCCTTGTCACCGAGGCAATGTCTAATCGTCCAAACCAAGTTGTGGAAGGATGCTGCTCTGATGTTGCTGTTACTTTTCGTACCGATTCCCCGAATCATATGCACTTCATGATGTATGGTGTTTACAGACTACGACCTTACGGACATATCTTCAATGATGCACTGATTTTCATGCCACCTAAAGATTCTATCAATGATTAAATACCATTGATATTTACTATAGAGTCATTCCAGACTGTGTTAACTGTGAATACCATGATGGCAAACAGATAACTTGTCCATTCAGTAGTTCAATTTGAAAAACCTCAAAAGAAACACTGTTTTTAGATGAACACCACCCTTCAATGTGGTCAATCTCAAAGGCTAGTTGGTATATATTGTATATAATAATAATGTAGGATTTGATTGAGTTGCAGAACAGGTATGGGTATCTGCAACTTACTGTGCTTTCCCGGCCTCAACAGTACTGAATACCTAAAGTAGAATTTCCCCTCATGTAAGTGAGCACAAAATCTTAGCACAAATGTCTATTTTAAGTGGAAAGGGATGTACTGAACACCGCATTATACAATTAACTTGCATTTGTCCATTATGGGTTGCCTGTTTGTGAAAACACTTTAATTTCACTCCCAACTTGAATGGAGGCTGAAAAAGCATTTCCTACTATAATGTTGCAAGTTCTCTTCTATTTATACAATGGAGTATCTCTATGATATTGTTTTGTTGTTTCCCCAATTAAAATATGCCGAAGCTAAATTTGAGGGATTTTCTTTCCATTTAATTCTGCTTCAGTGTTGGAAACAACAATCAGGAAATTGAATAATTTATCTAAACCTCAGCCTCCATTCAAGATGGGAATCAAGCATAATGGTGGCTTTGATTCATCCAACTATCAGTGTAGCTTTTGTACAGTGTATAACTTTTTAATGGAAACGCGATAAAGCTATTTACACATCCTTACTTTGAAGTACTCCTTCCAATATGTCAGTTGGAGACACCAATGACTGGTGCTTGCATGGAATACCATTACCTTTAGTTCACCCATCAAATTTTCCCCAAAGTATAAGATCGTAATGACTGATTGCCAAGATTTGTAATTTATTGCCTAAAACAGCGAAGTCACAAATCTGGAGTCTCAAAAGACATTGGTTATTGCAGAATGTTTAGCAATTTGGAAGCATTTTGCTGCAATTTTAATTATCTGACGAATCAACAAAAGAAAATCCTGGATTGGAAGAATAATATAATTTTTCTTAGGGAACCTTTATAGATTTAACTGGAAGTCTGTCTTGAAACATCAATGTTAATTCCACAATTGAAAACTTTTTTTCTTCTGCATTTAAACTACTGGAGAACTACTATTCCAATCAGAAACAATGTTTCTTAGGGTTTGGGCTCATATAAAATTCGTGCACTTGTGTATCAGAATTTATAGACAGTGGTATACAGGGGTCTATGGTTGTGTATATTCATAAACTCTTGCTTTGGCCTATCTGAATCAATGGGGTTCCTATCTTGACAATATAATCATTCCATTAAGAGATGTTTTGTAAAAATCCAGTATCTTGTTTTATGTTGGAAAAACTAAACTTCAATATTTTCTGTTGGTGAATAAAATTTGATTGTGAACCTTGAATTAAAATTGTGAAATAAAATTGATTAAGCAGTTTTAATTGTTTAATGATTACAACTCTCTGGCATGACCTTAAATCTAATTGTTGGATTTAAACTAAATATATTTACAATTTTATTCTATTTGGAGAGTAAGATCTGGTTCCTTCCCACTCTGACCTCATTATTAATAGGAATAACACCACTGAAAGTTGTCTTTTAGACTTGATTACAGAGATTCCAGGTTTTTAAGTTTGCAAGATAAATATGGTTTTCAGTAGCTTGTAGATTCATAATTAAATTCTCGCCAATCAAAACTATCAATTGCAGCGTTTCAAAACAATAACCTGCACTTTCTCAATTTCCCTTGTTAAAGTGGTCACTTACGTCTATTTTTTTTTCATGAACACCAACAACAACAAGATTCCATTTATAGAGCGCCTTTCACGTTGGGAGGACGTCCCAAGGCGCTGAGGGGGTGCTGTTGGAATCCCACTTCTAAAATTTTATTTTTCAAGTCCCCACCACCACCAAAGGTTGAATTATAAAAACTATCAGTACACCTTTATTTTAAAATAATTTCAAGACATTGCATATACTCCAGTATTAATTTAATGAACATTCAGGCATCAGATGTTTCACCAATACAACAATTGTAAAAAACAATTATAGTGCTAAAAACACCTGCATTTTAGCATTTTCCCAGAACACAGTTTAATGAGTCAAATTGTTTCCAAAATACAACCTGGGCACTAGCGATACTGTTTCTGTGCGCCTTTGTGTTGCTATGAGGTCTTTTCCAAAACCAGTTTCAAAGTTCAGAAAATGATATTTAAACTGGAAGAGACTGATCAGCCCAAACCAGAAAAAACTTGTGTGCTTATTTTAGGGTTCAAGCTCCTCCAAATAAATTGGTTATTCATCATATGGTTGGTGTGGGAATTTACTGTGTGCAAAATGGCTGCCTCATTTGCCTACAAAAAGTCACTGCATGCAACGGTAATTACTTGACTTCCTCGTTAACTATGAGCTGGAGAAGCTCTGTACCTACAAGCCGATAATGCCAAAATCACATTGCTAGCATGTCAGGACAGGTTAACAGTCCTCACCCACCAAGTCTAGATAAACATGGCAGTCTGGTGTAGGAGCAGTTGGGATGATGATCCTACTTGGGAACTTGTAGTAACAGCCTCTATAGGCAACACCAAAACTTTGTTTATATTTTAGCCCTGCTGCAAACAGCGACAGTGCTGTAATCTAAACCCAGCATTTAAGTGGAAATAAGGCTTTGTGATGAAATGACTTTTTCAAACCATTTTTTTGAAAAAAAACAATAATGCAGATGTCTATAAGTTTTGTCTATTTGTCCATACAGTAGATTATCTCGCCGACGACATCCTTTGTTATTTGTATGTCTTCATGTGCCAAAGACCATCGTTTAAATAATGCATATTCTCAATACCAATACCTTTGTTAATTTGTTCACTGCGGAAACAAACCAAAAGATCCACAATTAGAAATGGACGTTTCATGTGATTACATTTTTTTTAGCCAAGACTGTGGCCAACTACAAATAAGTTTAACATTCTGTGGTAATCATTTAACCTCATGGGGGCAGGGGGAGGGGAGCTGAAGGTAATAAACACTGTTCTTGAAATACAATTTACATCAGGAGGACGTAAAAGCCCTTATCACTGGTGGATGGGGACCCGGGTTGGGACTGGAAGCCGAAGGGATTGGGAAGGGGAAAAATGACTGAAAGCATACTCAAAAGATGTATGTTTTGAGACAGATCTTAAACGAACTGAAGAAGGAAGCGAGGCCTTCCACCAAATTGTTACGGTCATCACAGTATTCACCACTGCACCACACTGCAGCTATTTTTTTTACTGACTGCGAAAAGAGTATTAGCAGCCTTAGTAGCTATTAGCAGTTACTTGCATTTTTGTCCTATGCACAGGACTACAAGATTACAAAGTGATATTTAGTGATTTCTAATTTGGGCACCCTTACTGAGAACATCAGGTTCATTTCACCCTCCAATATAATAATAAAATGGTAAATATATTTACATTTTTTCAGCTGCCATCTTCATGACTCCAACACACAATGCATGCTGCTTGCCTTCTGCCATTATAGCCTTGAGATATATTCAATTAAGGAAAACGCAGTGCCAAAACAGCAAACCTAAAATATGTTTTTTTTCAAAACCACAACATAAATGGTTTCAAACAAAAAAACACGATAATCTAGTTTGTTGTTAATCCTCCATTTTAGCTGCAGACAAATAAAGTTTTCTGATAAGTTTTTTTTTAAAAGAAAATCTTTGAAACAAAGCAAACAAATGTAATTTTAACACTAGTGAGTAATCCATGTTCTCTGTGGGCATCTGCAGGTCTCTGCAGAGGGACCCATAACCTTCTTTAAAAAATAAAAAGTATAGAATTTAAAAGCAAGAATTTCTCATAGAAAACAGGCTAACATACTATCATCTACAAGAGTTGGCTTTGTTGGGAGGGTGTTAATTTATAAACCTAAAACTGCTACAGTGTTGAGCTAGTACAATGGTTACAGCAGATTTGCTGACAAATTAAAATTATTGCCCCAGTAAAAGCTTGTCTTTTAAGAGATTAGATTAAATCATAGACCATTATAATTATAAGGATGCTGCAGCAAGGGTAGTCTACAACAACAACTTGGATTTATATAGCGCCCTCCACGCCGGACGGCGTCTCAGAGCGCTTCATAGTAACGGATCCCGAGGCCGAGCCAGGGGGAGGGGGAGGAAGGTGACCAAGGCGCCTCGGTTGCGTACGAGTTCGGAGAGTTTTAGGGGGAGGTTGGGTAGGTGGAGAAGGTGAGAATCGTGAAATTTTAGACGTTGACGAGAGCCAAGGAGTATGGCTTCCATCTTGTCAACATTTAGCTGATGGAAGTTTGCACTCACCCAGCGCCTGAGGTCTGACAGGCAGGCTGACAGAACATCAGGCGACTGGGGGTCGCAAAGTGAGGTGGTAGAGTTGGGTGTCATCCGCATACGTGTGGAAGTGTACCCCATATCTATGGATGACATCCCCAAGAGGGAGCATATAGATCAGAAAGAGGAGGGGGCCAAGGATGGATCCTTGGGGTACCCTGCAAGTAACCGGGTGAAAGCGGAAGAGAAGCCCTTTGTGCAGATGTACTGCTGACTTATAAACAGTCCTCAAAAGACCTGAGTTGTAGCAAAACACATTCTAGTTTTCCTACTTTGAAATACACCACAGCTAAAAATATCATTGATATCAAGGATACAACTATGGTATTCGTGTCAGCTGGATGAAGTTTGGCTCCTGGAGAAGTTAGACCCGGGCACATGATATTAGCCCCACTCAGTACAAACTTGATGGCCCCTTTGTCAACTTGTTGATGTGGCAAGATAAATGGATCTGTAATAAAGAATTGGAGAACATAGAAATTACATTACTATAGTGTAAACCCTGAAGTCAAATACTTACTCACTTTGACAAAGCACATCCAAAGTCACATCTGAGAACAGGTTAGAGTTTAAAAGGCATCTTCTATGGCTGGCCTTTATAATGGATTTATCTACCAGCGTTTGAGGAGGGGTAAAGTTTAACCCAATTTAAAACAATCAATTAAAAATACTTTAATGTGCAGGTTTGTAGTTTTCCTCCTTTCTATTTGAGCCTGTACAATAAATACTAATGGGTTATTCGGTCATGAATAATCAGCCGTGGAGCATGACAGCGAAGCTGTAACACCATACGAAGACCTTCCAGAAGTCACCCTATGAACATAGGATAATGACATCAACAACTTGCACTTATATAACACCCTCCACACAGCGTAGCGACTCAGAGCACTCGAGTGTAACATCCAGTGTTACATATTTTTAAATATATTCCACTTCCTGATGGCATACCAGCATCCACAACAAAATGATTACACCAGATGATTCTTAGAAAGCAAGACACATGGATATTAAAGGTTGGTAAGGCTTGTCCTGTGAATGCGCTCCCCCACCACCACTGAAGAAATTTGTGGTCAAAATTAATATATCAGAAAGCTCAAAACAACAGTCTTTCACAATAATCATCCCCTCCAACTCAAAAGGCATTTGTGCCGATTGTAAAATGACATAAGATAGTGAAAAATAGCACAACTGCTACAAATTAATATCAGCACGTTTAAATAAGGTGATTCGCAATTAAATGCCGCAGACCTACATTTGTGAAGCAATCGTAACGTGGGGTAGAAAGGTCCTTCCCTCTGTCTGAAGAACAGCAGTTCTCCATTAACAGTCAGAATTTCTACATGTTCATGGCTATAGGACGAGAAAAGAAAAGAGTGCACCACATTTTTTTTTGGGCGCGTTAAAAAAAAAATGGATAGCATTTGAAGACCAAATTATTCCCACCGGATCCCCCGCCTCTTGAGCGAAAAGCGACATCCCACAAAAAAGACAGTCAGTACAATTGTAAGAATGGTTAAGGTTTGATATTTTTTTTAAGAGAAAAGAACTCCAGTCGGTACCATTTCACGATTTTTACCGGGTCCTTCTTTGGCATAATTTGGTTCAGCCACGGCTCGATGACGGGAAACTGCTCCACCAACTGATTCTTAATGCCCTTAATGACAGACGTCTTCAACTGAATGCAGTTCGAGACATTCTCCTTTTCGTCAAACCTGTGTGCGGGGGGAAAAAAAAAAACGGTCACAAAAGACGTTATATCAGCGGGTTCGGTCCCCCTCCGAATCTCTCTCTTTTTTTTTAAAAAAAAACGGCGACACAATTGGCACTCGCCGTCCCTGAGGCGAAAAAAAAAACATCTGATGATGATGATGATGGGGATGAAGAAGATGATGAAGAAGAAGATGAAGAAGAAGAGGAAGAAGAAAGACCAGGCAGGAAAAGGGGACTCACTTTTTAAACATCCTGCGACCCGGAGCTCGGCGGTTTGCAGTCCAGTCAGATCCCCCCCACCCCGACCGCGGCGTTGCGCCTTCACAGCCTCTCCCTCTCCTGAGCTTTTTCGGGGTTAAAAAGCAGCGCCTTCTCCACGAGGCCCGACCGACCCGACCGACCCGACCCGACCGCCGGAGCAAAACGCAACGCTTTGCGGCACGTCGCGAGCGGGCGACAGCGAGCACGACCGCCGGCCGTAAAGTGGATCGCGGTTTGCCGTTGGGAGTGCAGAGAAGAGGCCGCCAGGTGTCGCCACCTGCCGTTCTCTGCACGAGGCTTATGGTGGGAGTGGGGAGAGAGGGGGGGGGGGGGAGTGGGAAGACCCGGTCAGTGGTTCACTTTCCTCAACCTGTTACGAATTAAACCTTCTCCTTTTGATCGGGGTCCCATTTCTACGCGGTGGAGAAAGATAAATAAATAAACAATAATAAATTGGTCATTTTCAATCTACGACTGGTTGTGGGACATTGCTGTGCGCAATTGGCTGCCGCGTTCGCCCACAAATATACAGTCAATTCACTTTACAGTGTGTTCTGTGAAGCGCTTTGGGACGTCCTCCCGACGTGAAAAGCGCTATATCAAATGCAAGGATTATTATTATTATTATTATTATTATAAAGAGCGGCGTAGTGGGACTGCTCGGGTCGCCGAACGGCCTCCTTCTGCGCTGCGATACTCTTACGTTTTATGATCGTCCGCGCAGCTGGGGCTGTTTGCGCGGTGCGCAATCGGCTGCGGTGTTTGTCTGCGAATACGCATTCACTGCCCTTTGCAATCCACCAGTCCTGCGAAGCGCTTTGAGTCGTCCTTCCCAAGTGATGAAGTGCGATGTTAACAAATGCAAGGATTATTATTAATAATGTTGTGCCTGTGTAATGTCTTTGCATCCGTTTGCTGTCAAGTGCAGTGACTGTGTTTGCAGGCAGGTACGCTTTTTGGGGGGAGGCGGAAGAAATAAAGCAAAGTCAATCAACATGAAGACCCTCAGCCCCATATTCTCTCATCTTGCAGAACACCCACCCTCTCCCATCACAACGTTCTTTTTAAATGAAAAGGGAGTCCTGGCTTCAACTACCCTTCCTGGCAACCAGATCCAATCATTAACTACCATCTGGATAAAATTAAACTTCCTGGTGCTTGTCCTGAATTTGCCCATTATAATTCTAAATCAATGTCCTTTTGTTTTCCACTGCATCCTAAAGTATTTTTTCTGGGTTTACATTTTCAATCCAAGTTAAATTGATATACACCTCTGCAAGATCGCCCCAGGCGTTTTCTCTCAACATTGACTTTTCTCTCAACACCAGAGTGTCTGATCCTGCCTCAACTCATTCCACTGCACACTGGGGTGGTGATGGCGGGTTATTCCTCGGTCTCTCCCTTGTGCACTTGCCTCCAGGCGCAGAACTGCATCGTCCCTTCGTATCTATGCAGTATCAAATGCTGGGCAAGTTTCCTTACTCCACGGGCCTCTGTTTACCCAGCAGTAAGTCGGCACCCGGTGGTTAGTCGACTGGCGGATGGCTTTTCCGGGGGTAACAATACCTTCAAAGAAATAACAAATTGGTCCCTTCAATCCACGACCGTTTGCGGGGGACGCAATTGGCCGCCGCGTCTCGCCCACAAAATACACGGTCGGTTCACTGTACGGTACGTTTTCTGTGAAGCGCTTTTAGAGGCGTCTCGGAGACGTGAAAGGCGCTCTATACATGGAATCTTGTCGTCGTTGAAGACGTGATGAGGCGCCGTATCAGGTGCAAAGCTTAGTCATGTTATCATTATGCAGCACAGTGCAGACTGACCGAAGCACGGCTGCAGCAACAAACAAACACACACACAGACACACACAGACAGACAGACAGAGAGAGAGAGAGACGGACAGAGGGTTAAGGCGGTGTGACTTGAAGTGGAGGGAAATGGAGGGCGTTTTGGCGGGTAAACCGCCGAGTGCAGCGGGTCCTCTTCCGGTTCCCGGCATGCCGCTGTCTCGGAAGCGCGGCCATTTTGCTTTATTGACAAAACAAGCGGCTCCGGAGGCTCGGGTTCGGAGGCTTTTTTTTTATTCCTCCCTTCCCCCTCCCCTCCCCTCCTCCCCTCTCTCTCTCTCTCTCTCTCCCAGCCTCCTCCTTCTCTCTCCTTCCTTCCTCCCTCCCTCCCTCGCTCTCTCTCTCTATATCTATCTATCGATCGATCGATCGATCCCTCCGCTTCTTTTCGCCTCATAACCGGGGGAGGGGGACTCCCAGCGAAACCCGAGGCGGCGGCGGCGGCGTCGTCGGCGGCGGCGGTTTTTTTGATGTTTCGAACGGGCCTCCCGTCTCCAAATTCGCCGCAGGAGGTGCGACAGCAGGCCGATGTCGGCCCGAGGAAGCGAAAGTTAGCCGAGGCAGAGGCAGGCGAGTTCGAGCCCCAGCCCGAAGCCCAGCTCCAGCACCTTCCCTTCGCCAGGCCCGCCGCCTCGTCCGCCGCCGCCGCCGCCCACCACCACCACCACCTCCACCACCACCACGTCCCCCACAAGAAAGTCAAGTTCGACGACGACTCGCTGGACTTTATCGGACTCGATGCGATGGCCGAGGAGGCGGCCCAGAGGAAAAGCGGCTGCTCCGTCCTGACGGGCGTGCACGCCAACGGGCTGACCAAATCCTCCACGTTCGCCAACAGTAAACCGGGGACGGCCAAAAAACTAGTCATAAAAAAATTTCAAAGGTATACGGAATAGCTTGGACGCGGGTTGAGGCGAAACGAGCTTCTTGCGCGCGTGTGTGTGTGTGTGTGTAAAAATAATAATAATAATAATAATAATAATAATAAGGTCCTCGGGCAAGGGATTAGGAATCGGGACCGCTGTGCCTGTGTTGTTGAATTGTCGCTGCATTTTTTTTTGATGTGCATAAAGCCTCTCGTCTCCAGCAAGTCCCCTTTTTTTTTTGGTGGCCTGCGTAATGTGTAGCTAACCGTAGGGACGAAGCTACCGTAGGGCCTCTGCTGATCACGGCGGCGGCGATGTGTGTGTGTGTGTGTGTGTTGGTGTGTAAAAAAGGAAATGACACCCATGTTCTTTGTACGCCTGCCACATGCCGAAACAAGGTCTGCCAGTCTCGTAATTTGACAAGTCAAGTTTGGAAAGGAAAGACCCGTCATTCACCATTCGGGCACATTCACCTATGCCCGTTGTCGCACAATAGCAATCGTCCTTTGCTTTTTTCCCTTCACCTTCCTGCAAGTAGGAAGACTGCAACAAAGGGTTACTGGTAGAAGGCCGATGATCAATAAATTATATTTGAAAAATTATACGTTTACATAACTTCCAGTTATCTACAGGTGCTGCCTGATTGCGACAGTGGCATGATATGTATGTTCATTTCTACAGAAATTATTTTTATTTTTATTATTTATAGTTCACGTTTGTAATGTGCGAAATTGAATCTTTACAAAAATGGTAGGTGTTTTGAGCACAAATTTGAAAGAATTTCAGTTATGCTCTCAATGTGAAATATTTAGGCAGTATGTTTAACAAGCACTGTTTAAAATTGTTACGATTGTTACCTTGTCATGATCATGGTTGAAGCGTTTGAATCAGTTTCCAAATTATAAGGCTGCTGTTACAAGACACTTAGTATATTAGCACTAATATGGTACAGGAAACAATCACACTTTAATACGCATGCTTTAACATTGTACCAGGAAGCACATTTCATGAGGTCAAATTAATTCCTCTACTAACTATTAATAGACAAAGAAAGTCACTCCACTTAACAGTAAATCCTGTGAAGTGCTTTGAGATGTTCTCCTGACATGAACGGCACTGTGTCATAAGGAAGTGGTATTATATATAATAATAATCCTTGCATTTTATTTAGCCACTGATGTTTTATATTAGTGTTATACAGGTCTGTTCAGTTCACATCTATAATTGCACTGCTGGATGTTTCTCACACTCAATGTAGATTAAATCTTCTTACTCCACTTGCTCTTGAAGGCCCTGATTTGTGTTGCAGTGGGGGAACTGGTTCTCTCTTGACCCCACTCAAGTTCTTTCTTTGTGATCCCAAATTTTGAATGGGCAAGCTATTCATATTTAGGGAATGTTACAGCCAATCTGCGTTGTGTCCTCATTTGTACTTCTCACCAGAAGTCACTGAGTTGTAATCAGAATCCTGACTGTTTTTTGTTTTCATCATAGGCCAGGGCCCTCCTTCCAGCACTGGCAGAGTTGAGATCAATTAATATTACACTGACAGTTCTGAACTTTAGACCTGTTTTGCAGAAGATAGTGCCTTTACCAACAACTTTTGGGGGGCAAATGCTAATTCTAATGCCATTATGACTGTTTTTAAATGTTTAAAATCTAAAAACAAAAACACTAGCAGATATTAATGGTGTTTTGTGATTCATAGTTCAGTCAGGTACAGGGTGCTTGCAATTTGTACACAATAACTGAAGTGCAATAGCAGCTGTATAACTGCCTGGGCTCTAGTAAATATGAATGTCTGGGGTCAATCTCTGGACTGTTTATAATAAATAATCCTTGCATTTGATATAGTGCTTTTCATGTCTTCGAGACGTCTCAAAGCACTTCACAGAAAATACTGTACAGAGAATTGACTATATTTGTGGGCGAATCGCAGCAGGCAACTACACGCAGCAGTGTCCCACAAACAGTCATGGATTGAAGTGACCGATTTTTTTTCTTGAGGAATAATCAACAACAAGAGGAATAATCATCTGTCAATGCAAACTTAGTCATGTTTGTACAGTATTTTATGTGGTTTGGGATGAACAAACAGGGCATTTCTGGATTGTAGGACGCTGAATTTATTTGCTTTATAAAGCCTATGCAACCTGTGTAGAATTTTGTTCTATGAATGTGAGTGATAAGTTTAGGTACACTAATTGGTATTCCATATGAGTGAAAGAATGTAACATTCAGCTGAAATAACAGCCTGTGGGCGCCACATACTATAACATGCTCTTGTTACATAAAAATAACGTAGGTGAAAGAACGCGCAGAAAATCATGTAAATTAGTGGTTCTTTCACTTACTTGCAAGGGGTACTAACTAATTGTTTTTTCAGTCAACTTTTACCGATTGTAGATTTCAACTTAACTTGGAAATTTGTGGTGAACTTCAGGACATCTTGTTTATTCTAGATATTTTGCATGGATTTTACCACTCCTATTTGAATTGGGTATGCATCGTATGCAATAATATACCAAAATCATTCAAATATTAGCACACAAAGAGCAGCTTTGAGATGTGTTGCATCATGTTGTACATTTATTTTCAATCTTTATTCTTGTGAACTGTGATATAGCGTTTTCTTTTGCAGATAAACCTAAATTGCCTGATAATTACACCAACGAGACTTGGCAGAAACTGAAAGAAGCGGTGGAAGCAATTCAGAACAGTACTTCAATCAAATATAATTTGGAGGAGCTTTATCAGGTAATGGATGGAATATCTGTCCAATTCATCCCATGGGATTCAGGTAGTTTAATAAGTTTTGCAGGAAATACAATGATTCTGTTTTTAAATGTTAATTTATAGTTTTTGTTTATTTCTCTCCTCCGCACAAAAAAAAAGCTTTAGTTCCATGTATGTGAAATTGCAGTGATGTCTGGGGATCTTGCGTACAAAGCTGCTGATTTTCAGTCAGAAACCAAATTCCTTTGTGCATTCCGTTAACCCAGGTTCCTTTACTGAAGAAGAATTTTGCTATTATTCATGGAGCAAAAATCAGAGTTGAAGTTGGAGAGAAGTATCTCAATCGCAAATACTTCTGAGGAGTATCTGGAGGACCCATCCATCACCTCCATCTGCTGAAGTGTGTACATGTTACACAAGCAATGTATCTGGCTCAGCTGGGGTGGCTAGTATTGATTATTCTTTAGGCTTGTATATGTAGAATTGTCATTTGGACGAGATATAGGAGGGTGGATGTGAACAATTGTATAGTACCTTTCATTTTACATTACAATTGTATAGCGTCTTTCACGTCAAGCGGAGGTCCCAAGGCGTTGGACAGTCGAGGGTTTGAAATAATACCTTGGTATGTTTCAGCTTCTTCAACTGAGGAGTTGAATGGGAAAAAACCCCAAAAAGTATGACTGTGTATGGGCTTGCAATGAGACTAGGATCATATTTGGCCTTCCTCAGGATGGGACAGTTTGCCAACACTTACTATTTCTGGTCACCTTGTGAAGAACAGCTGCATAGATGAGGTAAAATAGGTCAGTTGAAGTGAAATCTGAGCTTGAATTCATACATTAGGAAGAGTTTGGGAGGATAACAAAAGGTGAAGTCATGAAAACACTTCGGTTGAAAATTGAAAGAAGTTTTTAAAATAAGTGATTATCCATTAGTCCTACTCTGTGTATAAGTCCTGTAATATTTGGTAAAATGTCAGGAATTTCAAACGTGTATGGTTTGGGCTATAGGGACACTTGGACTTATTCCTAGAAAATGTGTTCTGCTAAGTAACTACGAAATGTTCCATTTTACTAAAATGCTTCTGCATATGTGATGATAAAATGTTCTTCATGTTTCTAGGCTGTTGAGAATCTCTGCTCCTACAAAGTATCAGCAAATTTATACAAGCAGTTGAGGCAGGTCTGTGAGGATCACATCAAAGCTCAAATTCACCAATTCAGAGAATATCCTTTCTATGTTCAGTACTTCTTTTGTACAATATGTTTATGGTTAAATAGACTTTACCCTTATCGGTGCTATTGAACCATCTCTATCTTGAGTCACAAAATATGGGATTCATCTTTCAATTATCAGTCGTCCTTTGTGGAAAACATTGGTAACCGTAGCAACCAACTGAGTAGGATGTGCTATACGTGTGATGGCTCTACTGCTAGGTGTGAAGTGACTAATCTGCTTTCGAGTAATTACTGGTGCCTTTATCAGTGAATAACTGAAGATTTAAAAAAAGGATGCCTATTATAGATTGAACCACGCTTACAATTCATTTGTTTTAAAATTTGATTTTAAAAAAAATGGAACTGCTATTAGATGGCTCACTGAGATGTTAATAAATGGCAAAAGTGTATTGCAACAGCTTTTGATCATATCAATTGATATTTTATTTTTGTCATTCACCACTTATATAGAGATTACCACTGTAGTAAGAACCCTGGTATACGCACATTTTGTTCATTGTTACCTGAATATTCTAGGCTGACACTCAAGTGCACTGCTGGGGGAGAGCTACAATGTCAGAACTGCCATCCTTTGGATAATAATAATCCTTACATTTGATATAGTGCCTTATCACCTCTTCAAAACATCTCAGAGCGCTTAACAGAATATACTGTGAAGTGAATTGACTGTATATTGTGTGGGCAAAACACAGCGGCCAATTGCACACAGCAGTGTTTCACAAACAGTTGTGAATTGAGTGACAAAATTATTATTATAAGACGTAATCCGAAATCCTCTCTGCCTGTTTAGGTTTCCATTATAGATTCCATGGCACTTTTCAAAGCTGTAATGGAGTTTCTATAATGTCTTGGCCAACAATCCCCTATTATCCTAAAACTGTTCATTCAATCCACTGAGCTTCGCAAGCTGCGAGATAGTGTGGAGGGTCTTTAAAGAATACTGGAGAAAATTGTACAACGGTAGATAAAGGAATTATTTGTTGGTTAAATTATATTTGAATATAACATGTTAACAAATGTACTTCTGAGAATTGAGTACTTAATTTGTTCTTTTACATTCAATCAAGAATTTTCTTTAACCAACTGTACGGATTCCTTAGATAGTGTCCTGTTTCTAAAGAAGATAGATAAATGCTGGCAGGATCACTGCAGACAAATGGTAAGTATGGTATAATTGGTGTCTCTTGGGACAGAAAAAGAACTGATTCACTAGCCATTGATTTACTGAAAATTTTAATCAAATGCTTCACAAACCTGTGTGTTTAATCTTGCAATTTGAATTTATTGGTTTACTTCTGTTTATTACCAGATCATGATTAGGAGTATCTTCTTGTTTCTGGATAGAACTTATGTTCTGCAGAATTCAATGCTTCCATCCATTTGGTAAGTTTAAGAACTTCATCAAATTTGTTTTATATTGAAGACAGTATGGGCTTGGCTCAGAGTACTTGTCATGAAGCCCATTTTGGTTCAACGTGGAACAGCAGTAAGTTTATACCAGAATTAAATGTACATTGACCCCTTCCCTGATGAATTAATATTCAATTAATATTGAACTCAACATTTTTGATGTACTGTATGGCAGGAATGTTTTTATACTGTAGTTACAAAGTACATTTAATACTGTAACTGCTGTCAACTTACCTGTTAACCATTGAATTGATCTCACTGATGTCTTCTCTTAAAGAACATTTAATTATAGTTAAAAACTTTGTTTTACTTGAGGATTAAAGGGGATTAAAATACTGGATGTTGTTTTAAGAAATGTTGAACTTGCGAAGGCAAGGCATAATTGGGAAGGGGAGAAAAATATGAAGGAAATATTTTCTTTAGCATAATTGTCTTTTAACGAGTTTTACAGCATTCATCAGACCAAAATAAAATGGATGTTGATTAGTTTAATAAGCAAAACTGCTCAGTGCCAAGCTGGCGTCTTTGAAGTCCAAGCACATTCTGTGTTTTTGTTTGTAAAGCAATCCTTGGCAAGTTTAACTTTTAGATGAATGGAAACTGACACGTTTTAAGGAATGCACTGAAATTACCTTTTCTGAAAGTACAAACATGAATGCATTATTTTTAAAATCAGTCAGTTACTGATAAAGTAGCAGTTGTACAGGATTATGGCATCTCCAGTCTTCTGTTTATCAATTTACTGCTCAAATCAAAGTTTGTTTGTGTGTAATGTTCCACATCTCAGCAAAACATCCTTTTCAAAAGAGAATCTCATACCAGAATTTGCTTAGAAAAAAATTAAGATTAGCATCTTCTCTGGGAGTGTTACTTGCATTTGTTTTCCTGAACGTCTATTTAAAACATTAAACACTGTGGAAATCTCCTCCGTTCATCCCATGCAATCCCCAGCTGAGAGGAAGAGCAGGTGACCTGTTCCATTCCTTCAATAGATTGAGGCATAAGAGTGGTCTCAACATTTCTTCATCCTCCTCATACGTTAAAATGTCTGGTTTATTCTCGAGACCTCTGCTTGACTAAGATGGCTATCTGTGTGAGGAGGCTTGGAGGTGTTACTGAATGAGATGGACCTGAATTATTGTATAAGCAATTATTTTTGTTTTTCCCGAACTAGTTTTCTTTCTCACTAGTCTTTAGTTGTCCTGTGATGTGCTCATCTGTGATTGTCATAGGATCTTGGGCTATCCTAGGCCCAGACTCCCAAGTTTTGCATTGGTCACAGGATGGGGATTTTTGGCCACCAATTGTCACATTTGTTGTCCTTGATTTCCTGCTTGACCACTGCTTCAAAGATTGCAAATTATGCCAGAACTTTCAAGGTATGATGAAAAGATTAAGACTAAAACAGCTCCCTAAGATCATCTAGAACCAGATGACATGCAGCATGTTGCGCAAGATGCAGCAAAACAAGTCGAAGGACTTGGATCGGTTGAACCCTTGTCCTTCAACTTCCTTCCTGAATCATTAATTCCATCGGACACGTGAGATGTTGGAAGGATTCTGCCATAGTTTCGGCTGCAAGATCATTTTCCTTACAAATTGTGCAGCAGCATACATTCAGTGAAGAACCACATTTGTAGGTAAGAAAAGTCCTTGAGGAAATCACCACCCTCAGTTGATGTCCTGCATTCGACAGCCAGTGTGGAGTCATAGACAAAATTGCTCCAGTGTAATCCAGCCATTTTGATATAGTAGTACTTTCACTGCACTGGTGAGCAACCCGATTACAATGTGGGTAATTGATCAAGGTTTCGGATGCATAATCCACCCCCAACTGGGGAAGTGTAGGTATTTGGGTCCTCAGGAGTCATCCTGGGTGAGTGGCTGGCACTTCCTTGTTGTCAACACTTTCCAAACCCCTTATTTGGAGCAAAAATGTTCCATGGGACAGAGCCTTGAAAAAACACCATTAACCCCGAGCAATAGGTGTACTGACCTACATGAAACCCTGACCTTAAAGGTCAGATTTTTAAGGCACTTTCCTTAATGTTGGCAGGTGCTAGTTCGATCTCGTCTGTGGATTTTATGCCCGTGAGCCATCTTAGCTCAACACCGACAGCATGATCCTGCGGTGAAGTATCCTGTAGAGCCAGGTGGCTCTCTTCTTCGGCTGAGAATAGTGAAGACATTATGGCATCGATCATGGGGTTTCCCACCAGGATTCTAATCCAGGGCAGGTACTGACAGCACGTTCCTATAGTGCAGTCTCCTCTAGAGCAAGAAGGCTTTCTTCAGATGAGAATAGTGAAAACATGGCATCAATTGTTGGGTAATTCCATAAAGTTCCTAATCCAGGGAGGTATCATTTGATGCCTTCAATGCCCAAATCATTTCCATTTGAAGCATCAAGATCTTTAAATTCCAGATGTGGAAAGAGGATGCCGTAAATAAAGAATTAAAGAATGTTACTTTCAGATGAAGTAGTCTTGTTCTTCAAATGGAGGTATATTCCACGTATCAATTCCCAGTTTATACCTATCTGGGTCTTTTCTATTGTACTACTTGAAGGTTGAAAACACTGATTTTTTTTTTGCTTTGACGTAAATAGCTTTTACTGTATTTAATTCAGTTCTGCTCAGGTTCCTTTCCAGCAAAACTAAACGCAGATAGAAATTGTTCTGTGACTTGCTCAACTCGTTGAGAGGTTTCTGTCCTTGGGGAAATGACCACGTGCATTTTTGCTATTCAGCTTACTTCTCTATGGTTTTAGGAACTGAAGAGGACTGCTTGTGGAGGCTCATTTAGGTGTGACAAGGGAAAGCCAATTAGATTCCTGCTGACTTTTCGTCTTGTATTGCTTACCTTGCCCATATTCTGTGCAGTTTGCCTTTTAATTACTGTTCTTAATGGTTAATAAATCTGCTTTTTCCAATTGTTTCTCTTTCCTTTGTGTTTAAGTTCTTCCCCTAAAACCAATACAATGTTTGTATTATTTGTATTATTGCACAATTTGGAAACTATCAGTGTTCTATTTTCTCTGGTTCATATTTTGCTCTGTTCATGGCAATCTATTTCTGCACCAACAAAAATTCAAATTGTACAACTGGCATAAAGAATGACATGAGTTGATGCCTGATGAAAATTGCATTCTTTAATAAAATTTCTAAAGTTCTTTTCTTCCCTGGATATACGTGCGATTCCTATTGATAAGACGGCAGAGATGCAAGATTTTACAGATTTCTTTCAAAGAAAAACTTGATTTGAGTCAAAATTCTTATCGCATTTAATGTTGTGCATTGTTAGAAACTTTGAAGAATGTGTTCTGTATGGGATACGAGTGTTGGTGGCATCTGTGTTCCCACTCCTTCACTACCCAGTTATTGCTGATTCAATGTACACATTGGTTACAACATTGGAATCTGTTTGGGCACAATAGTGATTGAATTACCCACTGATATTGGAGAACATATGTAACATGATATAACACCTTATGTTGTCAACATCTCAAAATACATCACAGGGTTTTATGGAGTCAGGCTCTGCCGCTGTTAAGCCCTCCGAGATGCTACCCTGTGTGGAGGGTGCTATATTAGTGCAAGTTGTCGTCGTTGTTGTTTTACTTTGAAATGTTGTTGTGAGTGACACTCGGCAGCCCGATTTGGATTCAGAAATGTACCACAAATAGTCATGAAGTTAAATTTTTATCTGGCAGATTATTGGCTAGGACACCAGGAGAAACGCCTTTCTCTTTTTGTATAGTGCGATAACATCCACCTGAACAGGCAGATAGGACCTGAGTTTAACGTTTCATTCCTAAGGATGACACCTCTGACAATGCAGCACACCCCCAGCACTGCATTGCAGTGTCAGCCTAGACTATGAGCTCAAAGACCTGACTGGGGGCATGAACCCACAACCTTCTGACTCAGAGGTGAGAATACTACCAACTGAGTCAGGAAACTTGCCAAATAAGTGTGTGTGCAATATTGATCATAAATTTCAAATGCAGCAGCATGGAGACGTTTTAAGAATTAAAATTTGAGATTGCGCTTCTAAAGGTAAAAATTCGATGTTTAAGAAACATTACAATTAATCGATACATAATCTTGTAGTTTAAAATGAAAATATTTCATCAGACCAGGGTTCACAAATGTTTCATGGATACAGCTGCGCCTGGGACTTAATGATACTTATTTGGGTTGTTTTTGTTTGCAGGGATATGGGTTTGGAATTATTCAGATGCCACGTAATAAGTGATCGGAAGGTTCAAAATAAGACTATTGATGGTATTCTTCTGTTAATTGAGAGGGAGCGAAATGGTGAAGCTATTGATCGGAGTTTACTTCGAAGTCTATTAAGTATGCTCTCAGATTTGCAGGTACGTTTGAATGCTTTCAGGTGCAACTAAGGCAGCAATTTTTATTCGTAACAATTAAAACAACATTATTATTTTTTTCTTCAGATATATCAAGATTCATTTGAACAAAGGTTTTTGGAGGAGACCAATCGTCTGTATGCTGCAGAAGGTCAACGACTAATGCAGGAACGAGAGGTATCTGATTTTTTTAAATTTGTTACTGTTCAGAAGGACCTCAAAAATCATTTTTGGTGCTGTGCATTTCTATCTTGTTCGGAGGCAAGTTCCCAGAATGAATCAGCATATAAAAGCAAGAATTGCCATCTATCCAGAAATACTAGGATTCCATCTGATCTTCTTTGCTTGTCAATTTATTCTCCAATTTCGAAATAGAGCCAGCCTCATCATAAATTGATTGATGTGCTGCCACTTTAAGAAGACTGGGAAAATATTTTTAAGTTGCAAGGGTTAACAACAACAACAACAACAACAAGATTCCATTTATAGAGCGCCTTTCACGTCAGGAGGACGTCCCAAGGCGCTGCACAGTTGGGTCATGACCCGAGCAGGGGGGAAATGGTCAGGGTGAGGGGAGGAAAGGGAGGGGAGAGAGGAGGGGGGAAATGGTCAGGGTGAGGGGAGGGAAGGGAGGGAGCGAGGAGGAGGAAGAGAGTCGAGAGGGGAGCTGAAAGGCACGGTACAAAGAGAAAGGTTTTGAGACCGGCCTTGAAGGAGGAAAGGGAGGAAGCGGCGAAGGCACTGGGGATGGAGTTCCAGAGCCTGGGGGCTGAGAGGCTGAAGGCCCGACCACCGATGGTAGGGCGGTTGGGGCGGGGGACGTGGAGCAGACCGGAGCCAGAGGAACGGAGGGTACGGGCAGGTAGGTAGGGGGATAGTAGGTTGGAGAGGTAGGAGGGAGCAAGGCCGTGAATGGCCTTGTAGGTGAGGATGAGGATCTTGAAATCAATCCTCTGGGGGATGGGGAGCCAGTGGAGGCGAGCGAGGGTAGGAGTGATGTGGTCCCGAAGCCTGGTGCGGGACAGTACACGAGCTGCAGAGTTCTGAATGACCTGCAGCTTGTGGAGGGAGGTGCCGGGAAGGCCGGCGAGGAGAGAGTTCCCATAGTCCAGCCTTGAGGTGACAAAGGCGTGAACCAGGGTTTCAGCGGCGTGAGGGGTGAGGTAGTGCCGTAATCTGGCGATATTCCGGAGGTGATGGAAGGCGGTGCCAGCTGTGGTGCGGATGTGAGGGAGAAAGGACAGCTCAGGGTCGAACAAAACGCCGAGGTTCCTGACTGGCTTTGAGAGGTGGAGAGTGCAGCCTTGGATGCTGATGGTGTCAGCGCCCGAATTAACCACAATAAGTTATATTTAAAGAGCTTAAGAGTTAATTCTCCTTACCCTAGCCAGTCTCATTTGTCCAGTTCCAGTAGCTTCCCAGATTCATCTATGATTCTATTGTATCTGTATTGTACTGTATTTCCTTGGTGAGAAATTGGATTGAATGGTAAATTGCTCTCTCTTGACAGATACAATTCCAGCACATGTGCACTTTATGTGAAAGTAGGCCGAAGTGATTGATCTTTTTTCCTTCCTGTGTGGAAGCACTTGACCCTTGTTTTATGGAATTCATCACTTACAAGAAAGTATTCTCTCCCTAGATTTATATTCAGCAAATCATTGGGTAATCAGTGGATTTCGGCACAAATCATTGCCTACATTACCTCCCTCCCCCAATCATCTGATCAGTCCTTGCTTAAGTTGTTTCTGTACTTTCAATTCAATTATAGGTTCCAGAGTATTTGCACCATGTTAATAAACGTTTAGAGGAAGAAGCAGACCGTGTTATCACTTACTTAGATCAAAGCACGCAGTAAGTATGAATATTTAAGAATTCTAATAATGTGATCTTACAATTATCTATCTTGTTCCCTTCACCTTTACACAATTTTATTTTATTATATTAATTACTTTGTATTCTAGTGACTCTTGTTTGAAATGACAGATGTGCACCCAACCAAACTAGGGGTAAGCAAAAATGGTACATAGTTAAACAGCAGTATCCCAGCTAATAAAATAAATTAGCCTTTACTTGGGACCTTTTAATAGGATTTTTTTCCCCAATTTGTCACTTCACTCCTAGTGTGTTGGGAAACTCATTGAATATTTTCATATTCAAAGAATGCAGAGAATAAGAATGGTTATGGAGCAGATTCCACATTGATATCAACTTAAGACTTAAATGTCATCAAAATATTGTTTTGCATTAATTCTATTTTTCTTAAATTTGATTGCTTTGATCTTTCAGGAAACCTCTAATAGCTACTGTGGAAAAACAACTCTTAGGTGAACATTTACCAGCCATTCTCCAAAAAGGTAAGTGAATTTATTTAATATCACCATTTATTTTGTTGCACACAAATATAAACTTGTATTGAGCAATAAATAATTCATGGGTTAATTTTAATGTCTTTTTCCAGAGAATGATGATGTAAACCACTAGGGCAGTTTAGATCTTGATTTTGTAGTGCATTTTTTCAGTATGGATTTAGGGTATTGTGATGCTTATTTTATTTTTGTCTTGTAATCCAAATTATGTTTAAACTACCTTAGGTTTAAATAGCCTTTTGGATGAAAACCGGATACAGGACCTTTGTCTTCTCTACCAACTTTTTAGTAGGGTTCGAGGTGGGGTACAAGTTCTTTTGCAACACTGGATTGAATATATAAAGGTATGTTGTGAATAAATTTATGGATTATTTTTCAAGTGATCTTGTGACGTGTGTAGGTGTGGAATAATGCAGCAGTATAGGTGTTTAGTTAGTTGTTGAGGTTTGAGTTATATGTACATGTTGTAGGTATCCTCAGGTGGTGAGTGAGTAACAAGTATGTAAGCAGGATTTCTTTGAAGCTGAGTCGACTCCAAAGTGATGCATTTGGCAATATAAAATCTGAATCAAATTGATCTACTGTGGCAGTCTCGCAACCTGATACCGGTCCGATACCTGAGCCAGGTTGGTTTGCAGTCCATGATAATGTTGGGTTTATGTTCTTACGGCAATGTGCAAGCTAACCTGAGTGTTTGTCACAAATGTTGCCATCAGATTATAACTGTGCATTGTCAAGTTCTATACTAGTATCTTGTAGGTTTTTGTTAATGTATTTATAAACCATCATTTGTTTAATTGTGTGGTGATGATATTAGACCATAGACTGCCACCAGGTGTATCAAAATTACAGTTTTCTTCAAAAGATCAAATTTCAACTTGGATAGAGTTCATTAATAAATTGGTAATATCACGGTAATAAAGCAACTGATTTGGGGTATAACTTTAAAAGTATATTAATCTTGTTACAAAAATAAATGAATCTTAAATGTCTTCCCATACCCCTTTCTCTTATGTTTACCTTGTGGCAAAAAGTGTAGCCCAGAAAATCCTGCTTGAATGAATTTCCCATTGTAAGCGTAAAATACAGTGAACAGACTATCATTTGCACTAGCATGAGTTTAAATATTAAAGATAATAAATCCTTTCAAAAAATCTGTGCCTGTATGGATAGGTATTTTCAGGAGTAACTTGTATCCTCGTATCAGAAACCCACTCTGAATCCTAATCTAATGTTGTATTAATAACATTGTTATTACTGAGAATAATACATTTTTCTTTCGTGTTTCTCCCCAGACCTTTGGAAGTACAATAGTAATTAATCCAGAAAAAGATAAAACAATGGTTCAAGAACTGTTGGATTTCAAGGATAAAGTGGATCATGTAGTCGATGTCTGCTTCCTGAAGAATGAAAAATTTGTCAATGCAATGAAGGAAGCTTTTGAAACCTTCATAAACAAACGACCGAACAAACCAGCTGAATTGATAGGTAAGACCAAGTTCTGGGCAAGATTAAGAAACAAAATTAGCAATTCAGTCGTTATAATCTTCATCTGAAGTTTGAAACCTAATTCCATTGTTAACACTCTCCTCTGAGTCAGTATTTTGAGCTCATGGTTTAGGCTGGCATACTGATGCAGTGTTGGATAGGGCTGTATTGTCAGAGGTGCAGTCCTTCAGATTTGACATTAAACTAATGTCCTGTCTGCTTCATCAGGTTTAAAGATCCTTTAAAAGGGGCAATAATCTTTTAGATAAAATTTGTCATTCACTTCATGACTGTTTGCGGGAAGATTACTGTATGCGAATGAGCTGTTCTGTGTGCCTACAAAATACCTTTTATATTTTCTGTCTCAGCCAAATATGTGGACTCCAAACTTCGAGCCGGAAACAAAGAGGCTACCGATGAAGAACTTGAAAAGATGCTGGACAAAATTATGATAATATTTAGATTCATTTATGGTAAGCAGTATGAAATAAGTATTTCAAAATATTGGTGTCTATATGCATTTTAATGTCATAAAATACAAAATGTTCATTGTAATTTTCAAATATTAAATACAGCTTGCATTGGTAATGTTTGTTATACAGAATTTACAAGTAGAGATTGATATTTTACTTTTGATTTTGTAATCTATTAAACAATTTTTTAGCACTAACTCGGATATAGACTTAGTCTGCAGTGTGTAAAAGGCTCCGGGACGCTACCCCGCATGAACACCGCTGTATAAATGCAGGTTGTTGTTGATTAAAAATATATTTTCTTTATTTTCTATTGCCAAATTTTGTAAAATGGAATATTAAGAGCCATGAAGTCATGGAATGCTTCAATTCACAGTGAACCTAGTACACAAAATGTTAATAGCATCTTCCAAGATTGAATGAAAAATCTGCTTGGGAAATTGGCAATGCAATCGTATTTCTGATTGCAGTTTACAAAATACTTAATGTTCTGGGAGACATTTTGTCTGTAGGAAACTGAGACGTAATTTGAAGCCTGGTTATTAGTAGAGTTCCAGATTCTTATGTGAGGAGGGTAAAGCAATTTGGACCCTTTGCTTGGTTTGTTTCTGATTTGCATTATATATGTACCAAAAATAGGAAAAGACGTGTTTGAGGCCTTTTACAAGAAAGACTTGGCAAAGAGACTGCTGGTAGGAAAGAGTGCGTCGGTGGATGCAGAAAAATCTATGCTTTCCAAACTGAAACATGGTGAGTTTCCAATTCTCATAATCAAGTTATAGAGCACAAATGGGTGTGCAATTCAGGTGACTGGTTACTTGGTTTTATATTAGAGTACGTTTTCATCCTCAACCATCAGTTCAACAGGCTGACACCCAAACGGGAAATCGTTGATGCTGTTCCTGACCAATGATGTGATTTTTGCAGGTGTTCTTTTTCATTTTAGCAGCAGTTATTTCTTAATTTTTAAAAAAATATTCTGAGCAGTGTACCAAAGTCTTGCTTGTCCTTTTCTCAAATGTTTCTGTTCCATTTCTTATTAATTCACCAACTTTGAATTGCAATTTAATTTTTCCTTTCATTTCAGCAACTAGAATGATGATGTGTAGGTGCAAGTATCTGCCTGGATTAGCTCCTTCTAGGAAGAGAGCTTTCACTTGCACCCCAGTTATCAATTCATATTTGTTCATCTAGCCCTGATCAGATCCTTCAGGGTTAAATGCAAAGCATCAACCAAAACCACAGATTTTGTATTAAATGGATAATAATAATTCTGGCAGCACGCCGTAATTAATCAAATAAGTTGCATTTTTTTTAAAAAATCTGTTTCACTCATGCTTTTTTTTCTTTAGAATGTGGAGCTGCATTCACCAGCAAACTGGAAGGAATGTTCAGAGACATGGAGCTTTCAAAAGATATTATGATCCATTTTAAACAGGTAAAATTTCACTTTTATCCTGTTTTGAAAAAAAGTTCATAATATTCAGCTTTTATATTTCTAAATATCAACTAATAAAACTGATACAATTAGAACTTTTAAAACCATGATTCTACTGATTCAAAATTGTATTTTATCCTTGCCCTTGATGCTGGCAAAAGCTAGAGGCTGGTTATCTGCCTGCCTTCTGTAAAGGAATATCACTTAAAAAGAGGTGCAAATAATTTTCCCTGGTATAGTGTCTTAGCTATCAATTCCAGAATTTGGGACACTAATTTGCAAAAACATCTGGAAAGCCTTTTGGTCTGTAATACTGTAAGATTTTTGTACTAAAATTGGTAATTACATTGTTGAATTCATTGAAAGCAAGAATGAACCATCATGATAACAGAACATATATTTGTAAAGAAACGCAATTGGGTTTTACCAGTTCTAATTAGGATTTTTTTTTTTAAGTGCTACACGGACGCTTTTTACAGATTGAAGATCAAAATGGGCAGCAAATTGAATTAGTAATTTTCTGAAAGAACAATTAGGTACTGCAAAATAGTGTCAGACAAGCTTATTTTATACTGTTATTTTTGCGAAGTATAATTCAAATTTCTTGAAGGGGCAGGATTTATCTCAACTACAGGCTACTGTGCTGCACTTATTTGTTCATCTGTTTCTTTCTGACGTTCTTAAGCTTGACATTTTTTTAAAAAACTGTTGTGCTTTTTTATTTTACAGTACACACAGAATCAAAACATCCCAGGCAACCTTGAGCTGACTGTGAACATACTTACAATGGGCTACTGGCCTACTTATGTACCTATGGAGGTCCATTTACCCCTGGAGGTAAGTGTTTTGCATCAGCGACATACAGCAGTTTTACAATCCAAGTGTTTAAAAATTGACTTATGATGAAAAGCAATCAAACGCAGACCAGAATGAAAATGAAACTTTCCATGGATTCCAATGTATTAGTATTTAATACTAAAGACAGACTCCTACTGTAATTCCATACCCTAGGCTCAGGCCAGATTTCTGTACTGGGCTTTTCTTCTAGGTGTGAGGTAGGTGTTAGCAGGGTTGTTTGATTGTGTTGGAACATTACAGTTGAGCCTGATCTGTTCCTTACCTATGTCATTTCCAGTCGAGGTTACCAGATATCAATCAAAAAATAAGATCTCTTGATTTTTCTTCTCTCTTAAGCTAGGGGGATGCTTTGTAGTACTTTGTGTGGCCCTTTCTCTTTTAGGTCAATGGAGATGCCTGTAGCCACAGCATATTTTAGCAGAATTTTTGAAACACAAACTTACTGGTTAGTGATACAAAATAGTAAAATCAGATTTCATCCCAACTTTGCTGAATTCCTGATCTCAGCTACAGTGTTTGAAGATATTATTAGCAGAGGGTCTGGTGGATGGAGTCAATGAAAAAAATCAGAGAAAGTTGTCACATGGCTGGTCTCACATCTCTGAACAGAATATGTGCCTAGGAGCAGCGTGTCCTCTCATCCATAGAAAATATTTGGCCAAAGGGGCAATAGGAAAAACAAGAAGTGATAAGAAACAAAAACAGGAGTCGCTGGGAACACTCAGAAGGTCAGGCAGCATCTATAGTGAAAGGAAAATGAGTCAACATTTCAGGTCCACGGCCCTTCGTCAGAACGGGTCGTGGATCCGAAACTTTGACTCATATTCGTAAAACTGAAGCAGATTTCCAGCATCTGAGGTATTTAGCGTTTTGTCAATAATCTGAATCTTTGATTTACACGTTTGGATATGGGTATCCCTAGTCGTGATTGATTCTGAATTAATGTTTGATTATTCTGGCATTTTATAGGCGCAACACAATGTTCAGTTTTGAGCTAGAATTTGTTTCTATTCTGTATTTAATTTTCTTTATATAATTATGATACAGGTTAATGTGTCATTGATGAACTGAAGTAAGAACAGTCAGTGAAAACAGCGACAGCACAGTGTACAGCACTACCACCATTTAAATTGATTGTAATCTGTAGTTTTAAAATAATGAGCTATTGTCACTAAGTTCGGTGAAACACATAAGCAGGCAGATTTAAGAATAGATGGAACCAGGTTTATTTTGGAATGCTGTTTGGGTGAGATTGCTGGTTTGTAAAGAATTTTTGTTACTTGTTTTAAGTATTTTTAATTGAGCGATGTGTGGGTTATGGAATCCAGTGACCCCTGCTGCATGCAGGGTGGCATGTCTGGTCCTCAGGCAAGAACACCATTAGGCTTGGCTGTGACTTGTCTGCCGACATTCATTATCCTACAAGGAAAAAATGGCTTCTTGTGTAAGCTACTGGAGATCTGCCATCAACCATTGAAGTGCATTTCAGCATGATTCACTGCAATCAGAAGAGGACAATCACATTGGTACCAACTGTACAAGACTGCCTTTTCAGTCACTTGGAATGGAATTGGAAGCCAAGGAGTGGGTTGCATTCTCCACTCCCACCCTTGTTTGATGTATGGTTAAGGAGGAATTTGTAGCTTGAAGAAAACTCTTGCTTGTGTTCCTTTTATAATATAGATGGTGAAACTTCAGGAAGTGTTCAAGGATTTTTATCTGGGTAAGCACAGTGGTAGAAAGCTGCAGTGGCAGTCAACGTTGGGGCATTGTGTGCTGAAAGCAGAATTTAAAGAGGTAATTTTTTAAAAAATTATTTGAAGAATTGATTTCCTAATAAACAGCAGACATTTTTTTAAACAAGAGTATTTTTAAAGTGCTTTTCGTGTAGGATATAATTTCCAAATACTTTACATGGATTTCAAATATTAAAATGTAAACTTGTTTTCATAACAGGGTAAGAAAGAGCTCCAGGTGTCACTTTTCCAAACTCTGGTATTACTCATGTTTAACGAAGGGGAGGAGTTCAGCTTGGAAGAAATAAAAGCTGCAACTGGAATAGGTTTGTATAATAATAATCCTTGCATTTGATATAGCTCCTTATCACGTCTTCAAGACGTCTCAAACGCTTCACAGAATATGTGTAAAGTGAATTGACTATATTTTGTGGGTGAAATGCGTTCACTGTTTGCTCAATGTTGAGAGTTTTGTTGAACACGTTTTACTGAAGAACTGGTGGATGTTGAGGCAAAAAAATCTTGACAGATATTTTCAAGTAACCTTACCCTAGACTTTCATTACCCTTTAATAGATGAACATGATCAAGTTTCATTAAAAGTAAAATCTTTCTTTCTTCAGAGGACGGAGAGTTGAGAAGAACTTTGCAATCTTTGGCTTGTGGCAAAGCTCGTGTATTAGCCAAGACTCCAAAAAGCAAAGATGTCGAAGACTGTGATAAGTTCACCTGCAATGATGATTTCAAGCACAAGTTGTTCAGGATCAAGATTAATCAGATCCAGATGAAAGAAACGGTATGTTACATATTTTCTCGCAAAGACTTACTTACACTATACTTGTACTGGAAAGATTTAAGATTTCAGCTCAATCTAACTAAATCTGTTACTCGATTGAAGTTGCTTCATAAAACTGAACTTTTTTGCTTTAAGTAGAAAGGAGGAGAGGGAGCAAACATTTAAAAAGTAGAATGTAAACACAGCTTCTGAAACTGTTATTTGTTTTCTGGAAGGTGGAAGAACAGGCCAGTACCACTGAGAGAGTATTCCAAGACAGGCAGTATCAGATTGATGCTGCCATTGTTCGAATCATGAAAATGAGAAAAACTCTGAGCCACAACCTTCTTGTATCAGAAGTGTACGGAATCAGCTGAAGTTTCCAGTCAAGGTATGTAATTTTTAATTTAAAGGTCCATTCTGGTATAGATAATGCAAAGCACATGTGAGAATCAAAAGCTTGTGACCTCATGGAGAATAGCTAACTGATTTGAATTTAGCCATAATGAGTGTTTTTTTAAACATAAAATGGATTCATTGTCTTCCAAAGGAGCTTTGGGGCTCGTAACAGAGGCCCATTTAAGCTTTCAGTCATTATAGTTTAATTTATGCGATGGTGGGAAACTAAAGCAAAGTGCAGCCCAGTGGCTGCCAAGCTGATCCAATCTAGGAAAAACAGTACAACAATCACTGGGTAGGGAGAGGGTTTTATGCTTAACATAACTAAATATTTTTATTGTGCATTCGCTGTTTTCTGACTGCATTAAATGTCATACATTTGCGCCCCCCCTGTTAATTGCCTTTACACTAAATTTATATCTGAACTTGCAAATCATAGAATTGAATGTAGCTACCTAATTGCAATCAGTTTCAATTATTCTGATTTGCATTGAAATCGACCTGGACCTGCCTTCTCCAACCCCTCAGGCTGATAGAATCAGCACAGTCAATGTATTGTGTACATGACCATGTTGGTGATGCTGTTTCAACTTAATTTGAACTTGAAGCTACCAATGATCAATGCACAATTCAGACTGTGTGCCTGTGGAGTTGCAGATAAAATCATAGCGACTGTGCACAGTAAGCATAACCTGTTTATTTCAGCAACGCAGTGTTATTCTAAGCACCTTACTCATGCTGCTGAGGTTGATATAATTGGAGCACACATTTCTTCAGTTGTCCAAACTACCTTCACTTAGATTGTGGGTCACCAAAATGTGCCAGTACAGTTATTTCCCAATTGGTTGGCCTGAGTTTATGGTGCATTATACAGACTGTTAAGCAATTTGAAACCAAGATATCAATGCCTTGGGAAGTCCTTCTGACCTGCAAGGCGCTACATATTTGTATCAATTTTCTAAACTCTATTTGTGTTTTTCAGCCCGCTGATCTGAAGAAAAGAATAGAATCTTTAATTGACAGGGACTACATGGAGAGAGACAAAGAAAATACCAACCAGTACAACTATGTGGCATAGAACTAGAGGAAGAAACGCTTCACTTATTACTACCACGTTGATCCCAGGAAATGAGTTTTTCCGCCTGTATTGCCCAGAAATGTATGGAGAGTGGCGATGCTGAAATGACTGGGTGAGAACCTCTCTGAAGGCAAACTGGTCCATCTGGAGCTTTGAGAATCTCTGAGAATATTGATGGACTTCCACACGTTTCTGAGGTAGCAATGGACAACCAAAACAGTGTAGCCTCTCCTTTAAACTAACTTTTGATTTTTAAAACTATATAATTGCGAGGAACAGACACCACGCAGAACTGCACCTCATCGTTTTTACCTTGATGATAGCCACATCATCACTGAACAATTTTATTTGAGTTGCGTCCGTCTTATTTTGGATTTTGTTTATTTCCTCATCCTTTTGTAAACTAGCACGAGAAGTCGGCAGGCGTTTTGGCACCATTTGTCATCCCACATCTTGTTGTTCTTCACATTTGAAACAGCTGCAAGGCAAGACAGAATTGCTCACTGTTTCTGAAATTTTGTTTTAACATTGATTTTAGTATTGTGAAGAGTAATGGTATTGACTCTTAGTTGCAAACATTATCTTTTGTTTTAATTCGCAAATGTGGATTCTGTTCGAATTTTGCCAGCCTTTCTTGACAACTAAAGGAGGTGCCAAAGTGGAATGTGGATATAAAATATTGTGTGTAACTTGGTGATCTCTGTTTTGTATTTTGATCCTGTTGCAAATGCCAAAGCATTTACTATGTTGTATTTATCACAGACCTAAAAGATTTAACCACTGAGAAAGCAACAGCATTTGAAAACTTAATGCTGTTAATAACTTCTCCCTTTCATCTGGGTGCAGGTTCAATAATCATAATACCATGAAACAAAACTTCTTTTTCAGCCTTTACAGTTAGCTGTAGTTGTATAAAACTTTGCTCATTTCCTGTACTGTTAAACGTTTTAACACAGGGAAGAAGAAAAAAACTGTCAAAGCAGGTTAACTAAACTGCTCAGTACTTTTGAGAATGTGAAAATCGAACACCTAATGCACAATTGAAGCCTTTGTAATTACAAATGGACAATGGAGGTGCATGCACAGAGACTACTGTGGAGTTTCCAAATTAAATTGTTATATATGTACATACATGTCCCTTACAAAAAGTGAAACAAATCCATACTCAAAAGTTTTTTTTCCGTGTTGAATAAATATTGAAAAAAAATCTTGTGTACTAAGCCTTTAATTGTCTGTGCCACTAATTGTGTTTGCTGGTCATTTTGGCTGTGTACTATGATCTGGAAATCCCTAAGGTTTTTTTAACAAAAAAAAACACTGGGCATGATCGTCAGAGTCTGGGTCTTTCATTTGTTTGTTTAATTGACAGTGTTGCTTAAACTGCTGGAAACAAACCATGTGGGTATTGTTTGATTGTAATTGCTTTGTAGTACATTTTAACTGAACATTTCTGGCTTAAGCAGTAGTATAAGCTTGCTCCAGTACAATTTCTTAAGCTTTCTCTATGAAAATATGATTTCAGATGGGATAATGTTCCCAGTCCTACATCACTCAATAGTGCAAAAAGCTTTTAGCATCTTTCACTTCGGGAGGACATCACAAAGCACGAGGATTTACTGTGAAGTGTAGTGACTATATTTTGTAGGCTCATGCTACAATAACGGCTGTCAGGCCTATCTATTTGTATTGTGCTGCTATTAAATGTAATGGGACAGTTTTTTAAAAAAAAGATAAGGATTTTGCATAATAAAGCTGTTACTGGCTAATAGTAAGGGGTAGGCTTGACTGGGGATAAGGCTTGGCGGAGGGATTGAACTGATCTCTGCTCTGTGAGCGGAGTCGATGGGCCGAATGTCCATCTGCTTTCTGTGCTGTAGATTTCTATGTTAATATATTTTTATGTAAACCACTATGTAAATTGATCGACTCAATGTGTTTTAAGTTTATCAGTACCAGCACAAGGTTCAATCGGAAACATAGAGTCCAGATTAAACTCTTACAAACAATTCAAGTGATTTTGTTTACATCACTTGTGCTTAACTACTGATGACATTGAACAATTCCTACAGTCCCCATTATCAAACAATGGTACCGCTGAGCTTTATTTATAGAGCAAATGCACCAAGATGACTGAAAGGTCAAAGTTAAAAAAAAAACTGGTGTAAAAAGGCATATCAAAAAACCGCCGCCGTGTCTCAAAGCCTTTTTGTAAGCAAACATTTAGCATTAAACTACAGACCCACAGTTAAATTGTCTCACCTTTTGTTAGTGCATCATTGGGTGGTAATTCAGCAAGTAAAAAGGAGTCAGTTGGAATCTGAATGTATGCTTACTGTAAAGATTCACCTGTAATTTTCAAAAGATTAAAACACGCAACATTCCAGGAATGCATGGCATCCCTCTGTTCTGTACTGTCTGTTCAATGTTCCGGTGTTAAAGTTTAATCGATATGATCTAATTTAGATGGTAATAAATTCAGTATAACTTGAACTGCATTTCCTCTGTTGTACTAAAAATGTATGGGCTGAAGTCCAGATCTCTTAACTCTCTTGCAGTCCATGCTATGTAATCAATTGCTAATATTGCACCTAGATCTACAGAGTCTCTATACTTCATAGTAAAATCCTATGAAGCACTTTGGAATGCATCAAAATCTGATAAGGGGTTAAATCAAGTGCAAAGATTATTATACTTCACATATCCCTACGATTTCTGGATCATATGTTTCTTATATCAATATTACAACAAATGTTTAAAAAATATTGCATTTGTAATAGCAGTTTATAAACATTGATATTATTTGTTTTCTCTTTGAAATGAAGCCTGATTTTAGCCTGAATGATGCAGGACTTTTTCTTCAATTGTTCATTTGGGAGAAATATGATCAATTTAGGGGTTGAAATTGTACATGTTTTAGTTTGACTAAATAATAATAACATGATCTTATTGGCAATAAGAGTTAATAGGATGCTGGTTCGCTGATTTCCCAAGCTTCGTGTGTGTCACTGGGAAGAAAAAATGAAACAAGAAAGGACAATTTCAAACTTGAGTATTTTACAAAGCACGAAAAACTTACACTTTAATATACTTTCATCTCTCTCGCTCTTCCTCCCGGGAAAAGTTCTGAATAGATGCTTCCTGATCCCTAATGGTGGTCACCTATCCCACAGATTGCAGTTTATATTCACAACCACATGGGTTTAGTTACATTATATATCATAAACTAAAAGAATCTTAAAAGTTATAAAAACAATCAAGAGCATTGATACTGTAATCCGCCTTTATGCTAGTGTATAAACAAATACCTTGTGTTTTATTCGGATAGTTTCATTATTATTCGTGGAGTCCTGTAGCTCAGTGGTTAGAGCACTCGCTTTGCAAGCGAGAGACCTGAGTTCAGTTCCAGGCAGAGGGCGAAACCTCGGGCAAGTTTCCTTACTCCACACAGAGCCTAATAATAATCCCTCCAAAACCAAAAACAATAAATTGGTCATTTTCAATCTACGATTGTTTGTGGGATATTGCTGTGGGCAATTCGCTGCCGCGTTCGCCCACAAATATACAGTCAATTCACTTTACAGTGTGTTCTGTGAAGTGCTTTGGGACGTGAAAAGCGCTATATCAAATGCAAGGATTATTATTATTATTAAGTTTCCTTATTGAGTTGGAAACTTCCATTGTTGCTGCCACAGATTACATATGACAAGAAATGGTAGTCGGTTTATATTTTGGCTACTGCAGCTCAAAGCTACGTCGCTCTGAGACTGCACATCGGGACAGGCTGACTATTAAGTCGACCCATAGACCTAGTCGTGCGCTTCGTTCCCACTTTCTGTTCGCATTTCAACAGTGCCCTGCAAGCTGGACAATGTTGTTAAAACAATCCCATTGGCAGCCTTCGCAGCACATTCCCAGCGTGGCGAACGAATCATTTCATCATCACGAGTGATGTGTGTGTGCGTGTGTGTGTGTGTTTTGCACTGCAAATGCAAACCGGTCCCAGCTCGTGATCTGCAGGTGACATCATCTACCACCATCTGCACAAACACGCAGGAATAATCCAAAATATCACCCCCAAAAATTACCAGGTGATCCATTCCAATTACATTTCATGTGTGTGTGTGTATGTATGATGTGTGTGTATGTATGATGTGTGTGTATGTATGTTTTTTTTTTTTGTTATGTTGTGTTGTATGATGTGTGTGTGTGTGTGTGTGTGTATGTATGATGTGTGTGTGTTGTTGTTGTGTGTGTTGTATGTATGATGTGTGTGTGTGTATGTATGATGTGTGTGTATGTATGATGTGTGTGTGTATGTATGTATGATGTGTGTGTATGTATGTATGATGTGTGTGTTGTGTATGATGTGTGTGCATAAGAAAGATGAACCAAGCCTCAATATTGCTGTTTAAATCCCCCTTCATGAATTGCATGGGGCAGGTCATTGCCCCTTCCTGGGGGCTCATTGGACGTGGTATGTGATTGGCTCATTGATCATTACAGCCAGTGGGCAGTGCCTGTGTGTGTGGAGGAGGAGGGGAGGGAGGGGGGAGAATACCTGCACCTGCGTTTGATTGGCTGATCGACAACAAGTAGCTGCTTCTGATTGGCTGAGTGGTGGGGGGAGGAGAAGGAGGGGGAACAAATACCCGCTTCTGATTGGTTAAGTGGGGTGAGGAGGCGGGGGCAAACAACTACCCGCTTCTGATTGGTTGAGTGGTGGAGGAGGAGGAGGGAGGGAAACAAATACCCGCTTCTGATTGGATGAGTGGTGGAGGAGGAGGGGGGGGGAACAAATACCCGCTTCGATTGGTTGAGTGATGGAAGAGGAGGCGAGGGGGGGGGGGACAAATACCCGCTTCTGATTGGCTGTCGGACGGATTGGCCGCTGGTGGGGGCGGGGGCCCGATCAGTGATTGGCAGGTGTGGGTGACGGCGGGCGCCATCACGTGACGCCCGCCGCCTTCAGTCGTTGCTGCGCTCGAGGAGGAAAGTCCGGTCTCGCGCCCCTCCGGTCGTGTGTTGTGTGTGTGTGTGTGCGCGCGGTTTTTTTTGGGGGTCTAACGATTCCCGGCACCGAAAACAAAATGCATCGCTCCTCCGGTCTCTGCCTTATCCTCCTGGTGGCTTTAGGTAAGTGTGGGCTTCCCTCCTGTGGCCCCTCAGGCTGTAGCCCTCCCTCCCTCCCCTCCCCCGGGGTGTTGACGGCCTAGCGGCGGGGCAGAAGCCTCCGGAGCGGTCGGACTCGGGTCAGCGCGCGAGTCGGTCCTGTCTCGTCAGTCGGCGAAGGAAGTCGCTTTGACGGAGTGGGGGTGGGGTTGTGTGTGTGTGTGTGTGTGTGTGCGTACGCGCGCCTCGTTGTGTCCGCGCTCAGGCGGGTCGGAGCAGTCTGTGAGGAGGGAGAGAGAGGGAGAGGGAGAGAGGGGTCGTCGTCAGCCCCGGATAACAAGCGCCCTCCCCCCCCCCGCCAACGGAGCTGGTCTCTATCCCTCCCCCCCCCCCCGCCCCGCCAGCAGCTGTTTGCGTGGGTCCGGGCGGTGCCGCCGCCTTATGGCGACGCTCCTTTGGTGCACCGTCAAGGACGACAACAACAACTTGTTTTTATATTATATATATATAATGTGTGTGTGTGTGTATATATGAAACGTCCCGACAGCTACAAAAAGGCGCTCTGGTCTCCACACTCTCTCTCTCTCTCCACACACACACACACACACACCCCCTCCGCCCCCCCTCAATGAGTGGCAAAACCTGAGGGAGTGAAGTGTTGGGGGTAAGCGTTTCGGCTTCAGAAATGGCGAACTGGCGGCTCAGGGAGGGAGGGAGGGACCTCGTTCCTTCAGACTCACTCCCTCTCTCCCTCCCTCCCATCCTCCCTCCCTCCCTCCCAACCCGCTTTCGTTATCGGACGCTGCTGTTTCTTATCGCTAAGACTGTAATCGTCGCTGTCTGTCGTGGCCTCTCCTCGCTCCACACTGGGGGTGGGGGGGGCTTTCCGCCGTGTCCAAGAAACCGCTCACCCGCACCTGACGCCGGTCCCTCGACACACTTATTCCTCCTCCGTCTCCTCCCTTTCCCTTCCCACTTCCCGCAGAGATCTCCCGAGGCCTTGTTGCGCTGCTTTCCGCGTCTGAGCTTAGATAACAACGCCACCGATCAGCAGATGGGATCTGGCACCCGTTTGGCATCTGTGGCTCTCGATTACACTGTGACATCCCTCAACATCTTTTTATACATATATATATATATACATATATATTATATATATATAATTTTTTTTAAAAAAAAGCGCTTTACGTTGGAAACGGAATGGACCATTTTATTTCACTGAGACAGCTTTCAGGTTTTCTTTTAATCCTAAGAGTAAGATGAAAGGACTAAAATGCCAGCGAGTGTGGTGGGCCTGTCATTTGGATGTGTCGTGTTCCTCTTGAATAGTCTGTATGGCCTCCCTTTCAACCTTCAGGTTATAATGTATGTCGATCAATTAAGTGTTAAACTAAAGTGGGCTACAGACTTGTTTTTGGCAAAGGAGCAAATTTGAAGACGCGAGTTAAATAATAAAACAATAATCCTCGCATTTGATATAGCGCTTTTCACGTCGGGAGGACGTCCCAAAGCGCTTCACAGAACACACTGTAAAGTGAATTGACTGCATATTTGTGGGCGAACGCGGCAGCCAATTGCGCACAGCAATGCCCCACAAACAGTCGTAGATTGAAAATGACCAATTTATTATTGTTTTTGGTTTTGGAGGGATTATTATTGCTGCTTATGGAAGCTAATTTTTCCCACCAGCAAATAAAAATGGTAAATGAGCTAGCCTCAGCCCCTCTATGGTGCAGGCTGCTGGGGGGGCGAAGGGGAGAAATTCAAGTAAATGTACAACCTCAGCAGTTTCTCTATATTCTGCAATGTGTGGCCATTCTTAATACATAATAATAATAATCGTTGAATTTGATATACTGCTTTTCACGTCTTCTGGACGTCTCCAAGCGCTTCACAGAAGACGCTGTAAAGTGAATTGACTGCATTTTTGTAGGCGATACGCGGCAGCCAATTGCGCACAACGGTGTCCTACAAACAGTTGTGGATTGAAGTGACCAAATTATAATTTTTTTTTCTTGAGTGATTATTAGGCGTGCGGAGAAAGGAAAGTTGCCCAAGGTTTCGCCCTGCCGGGAATCAAACCCATGTCTCGCTTGTGAGGCGAGTGGTTAACCACTGAGTTGCAGGACTCTTTCTTGTTTAAAGTACAAAATGCTGTAGCACATTTATTAAATTAATGCTATCAGGATTGAACCATTTAAAGTCCCTTTTCTTCCCCTGGTTTCCCGGAATTGGCTGCAATGTTGAATCTTATTTTGCTTCCCCAACCTCGACAGTTATTCTACTCAGTCTAATTGATTGATAGCATTGTTGTGTGATGTCAGGCTGGCTCCATCTGTAATGATTTACAATAATAATTGTTGGCCCAGGAGAAACTCCTTTCTCTTTTTGAGTCGTGTCTCGGGTTCTTTTCAGCGCCTTGGGACGACCTCTTGACGTGAAAGGCACTATACAAATGTAATGTTGTTGTTGTTGTTTTCTGCTCGCCTGGCCTGGCAAACTTCTGACGGGTTTGGGGGCAGTGCTGCTGAGCTGCCACCTAATGGACCTACCTACTGTTGCAGTTATTTGCTTTAACTCCTATTACCAATTGCCAGAGTAGCTCTTTGTCTTTCCTCCCTGCCTCGCCCATAGTGAAGTTGGTTTAGAAGCTTAGGGTACGGGTTATTTTCTTTTCTTATCTTCTGCTGCGATGGAGAGCTTGCATGAGTTGCATTCCATTCCAGGTGGCCTGATCACTGCCCATTTGTGGACTAGTAGGCACAGAGTGTTCTCACATTCCAGTGTTCTACATACTTTAGCAACATGTTCATTCTTTTAGGTCTTAAATTTCTATGCCCAAGTAACTTATAAACTTGTGCGCTGGATATGATCAGTTGTAAACCTGTTCTAAAATGAAGACTGGGCATTTCAACACTTAGAATATTGCTCTGATCTTTGTTAAATAAGTGCTTTATCAAGCTTTGTAGCTTTCAGGTAGAAATTACTTTAGTGATGGATGCCTTGTATGGTAGAATTGGTGTGAGGCATGCATGTGTCTTGTCACCTCCTATTTACTTTGGTTGAATGAATATCCAGGCTATCTGAGGATTCATTTACATGTAAGGAATGTACAATACACTTTTTGTAGATCTAAATGCATCCTTAATCTCCGTCACAAGTGGTGCAGATCGTGTTTAGGAAGATACCCAAAGGTCTGGGTTAATCTGAGACAGTGAAATTATGTCCTCCCCTCTTATCCATGCATAAGAAACTCCTATTCAGTGGTTTAGTGTTTACCTTTGCTGTGTCATTTTACAAGTTGTAGTAATCTCCAGTAACACAAATGATATTGAACTCTGGTCACATTTTTTTAGGATTTTCACTGTCTGAAGCAGTGACGATTGAATTGCGTGACACGAGTGGCCAAGTCTGCCTATACGCTGCACTATCTGTGAACTTCACTGTTCGCTATGAAGGGAAAGAGACCATGGTAAGTGTTGTACTATTTTACTTGTATAAGTGGATTGGTTTTGTGTGGTTTTTGACTTCATTGAAACGACATCCTGCATAAGATGTAAAACTATAGAAGGAGAATGATGTTGTCCGGCATATTTGTCTGAGTCTGAATGATCATTTTGATCATTTGCTTCCTGACTTTCTTGATTCACCCATTATATTATACAACTTGGATGATGACCTCTTGTTTTCTATTTGGAGCAAGAATTTTTTGTCTATTGAATAAGCAAGACTGCTGTTGAGGAACACCTATTTAGTACTGTATTCCCCTTTCCACCGTATCTACAATTTATACTACCCTTCGTTAGAAATCCTTGAGAATACTCCTAACCTTCAACCTTGGTACTGGTTAGTTTTCTGCACAACATGGCATTTACAAGGTTCTGCTTTGACTTTTGACTGTTGTTGCAAAATCTGCTTGCGGATCTTGGCAATTGTAAATTTCTGGCAGATGTTTGGATTACTGAGTAACTCAGCTCTTCAGTATGTTGGAACATCCTCCCAATGTGAAAGGCACTTTATGAATGTAATTTTGTTGTTGTTTTCACCTTTAACTGGTGGAATTGCTGAATCTCTTCCTGATTCACTTTTCCATCAACTATTTTTAGGTTAGCCACTTTTTCTGAGCCAAAAAATAAGATGTCCTCGACCTAGTTGCATACACATGTGAAAGCAGTCTAAACGATACTAATCTTAAAAGGATTGGAAGTCTAGTTGCATATACATGTTACAACTTTTGCACCTCTGGTCTGCAATGCACACTTGTTCTTTTATGATACAGGAGACTATGTCATCCAGGTTGCTCACAGAACTTGGGTTGATCTAGTTTGACTTTTGCTCTGCTTTCTACTTATTGGAAGTTTTTCTTCTGTAGGTAAATGCATCATTTCAGCTGCCAAGTGAAGTATCCACAAATGGAAGTCTCTGTGGAGATGATAAGACTGCCCCTTTGATAAACATGACCTTTGGCACTGGTCACTCTTTGAGTTTAAATTTCTCCCATTCTACTGGAACCTTTCGAGGTGACTTTCTGACTCTCACCTACAACACCAGTGACTCAACTCTGTTTCCAGGAGCACAAAATGCAAGTATGGCAATTTTCTATTATAATAATAATAATCCTTGCATTTGATATAGCGCCTTATCATGTCTTCTAGACGTCTCAAAGCGCTTCACAGAATATATTTTAAAGTGAATTGACTGTATTTTGTGGGCAAAATGCAGCAGCCAATTGCACACAGCAGGGTCCCACAAACAGTTGTGGATTGAATGACCAATTTTTTTTGAAGGAATTATTATCCCGGAAAAGCAATCCGCCAATCGACTAACAACAAGGTTCCTACTTAGGGTTCCTGTTGGGTAAATAGAGGCGTGTGGAGTAAGAAAACTTGTCCAAGGTTTTGCCCTGCTGAGATTCGAACCCAGGTCTCTTACTTGTGAGGCGGTTGCTCTAACCACTGAGCTACAGATCTCCATTGTGTCTCCTTTGGTGTTAAATGGAGACATTGAGGTCTATTGAGTCAAAGTTAACTATGTTTCCCTGATGGTTCAGCTGGAATGTGTGGGGGTTTGATACAAATGGTTTACTCAGCAAGGCGGTGTAAGTAGCTTGTTTACATGATCTCAAATTGGTTTATCGCACAAATTATCCTTTTTCCACACAGGTGTGCAGCATGTCACTATACATGCTTTAATGATGCCTGTGCCCCTCAACACATTGTATACATGTAAAAGTGCTGAAGCTGTTGCAGAAGGACTTGTCACCATGGTTTTTTGGAATGTCAGCATTCAAGCTTTTGTGAAGAATGGAACAATCAGCACAAATGGTAGGTTTAACCTGGGTAAAACTTTGGAAAAGGGATTTTTAAATTGAGAAAGCAAATTAGGCCAGGTCATATCATAAGACTTGAGCTTTGATCTTTGCTTAAACCCACCACCTGCTCCCTTGACCCCATCCCCACTCCACTCCTTATCTCCCAGCTCCACCTCCTTGCCCCACTTTTCACAGACATCATCAACCTGTCCCTTTCCTCTGGCTCTGTTCCCATTCCCCTCAAAATTGCCATCATCACTCCCACTTTGAAAAAGCCCTCCCTTTATGCATCGCAGCTATCAAGCTACCGGCCCATCTCCAACCTCCCCTTCCTGTCCAAGGTCCTTGAAAGAGTCGTTGCCTCCCAGCTGCGCTCTTTCCTCTCCACCCATTCATTATTCGAACCCCTTCAGTCGGGTTTCCGTGCTGCCCATAGCACCGAAATCGCCCTGGTCAAGGTCACTAATGACATCTTCACCATCTGCGACCAGGGCTCCCTCTGCCTCCTCGACCTATCGGCCGCATTCAATACGGTCGACCACGCTATCCTCTACCACTTGTCCTCCCACCTCAACCTTCAAGGCCCTGTCCTTGAGTGGTTTAGGTCGTACCTCTCCCACTGTCTTCATTTTGTTTCCACAAACAGCTTTTCCTTCAGCCCCCGCACTGTCTCATGCGGTGTCCCTCAGGGCTCTGTCCTCGGTCCCCTCCTCTTCACCCTCTATATGCTCCCCCTCGGTGACATCATCCGCAGACATGGGATTAACTTCCACATGTATGCGGATGACACCCAACTCTACCTTTCCTCCTCTACCCTCAATCCACGACCATCGATGTCCTGACAGCTGCCTGTCCGACATCGAGTCCTGGAAGAGAGACAACTTTCTTCAACTCAACATGTGCAAAACTGAGGCCCTCCTGATTGGCTCACGTCAGTGCCTCCGCACCTCAGGCACTGACAGCATCAGCATCCAAGGCTGCACTCTCCACCTCTCAAAGCAGTCAGGAACCTCGGCGTTCTGTTCGACCCTGAGCTGTTCTTTCTTCCTCATATCCGCGCTACAACTGGCACTGCCTTCCATCACCTCCGGAATATCGCCAGACTATGGCACTACCTCACCCTTCACGCTGCTGAAACACTGGTCCACGCCTTTATCACCTCAAGGCTGGACTATGGGAACTCTCTCCTCGCCGGCCTTCCCGGCCCTCCCTCCACACTGCAGGTCATTCAGAACTCTGCAGCTCATGTACTGTCCCGCACCAGGTTTCGGGACCACATCACTCCCACCCTCGCTCGCCTCCGCTGGCTCCCCATTGCCCAGAGGATCGAATTCAAGATCCTCATCCTCACCTACAAGGCCATTCACGGCCTTGCTCCCTCCTACCTCTCCGACCTACTATCCCCCTACCTACCTGCCGGTACCCTCCGTTCTTCTGGCTCCGGTCTGCTCCACATCCCCAGCCCTACCATCGGTGGCCGGGCCTTCAGCCTCTCAGCCCCGAGGCTCTGGACCTCCATCCCCCAGTGCCTTTGCCTTGCTTCCTCCCTTTCCTCCTTCAAGGCTGGTCTCAAGACCTTTCTCTTCGACCGTGCCTTCAGCTCCCCTCTCGACTCTCTACCCCCTCCTCGCTCCCTCCCCCTGACCATTTCCCCCTCAAGGCTCGGGTCCCGACCCAACTGTCCAGCGCCTTGGAACGTCCTCCCGATGTGAAAGGCGCTCTATACATGAAATCTTGTTGTTGTTGCTTGTGACCTTTATCAGGCACTATGCTATCTAACCCATTATTCTGTCAAGATCCAATTGTTTATTTAAAACCAGTATACCTCTTTTTCCCCACCTCTCCTATGCCCCAAGCCAAACGTTAAAACTACATAGTATTGTATAAGTTAACTATTTCTATATTTGGTGAACTCACAAAGGCACATCTTGTTTATAGAAACCTCGTGCAAGGAAGATCAGCCCACCACAGTGGCACCTGTTACCACACAATCACCAACCAAACCCCCAACCACACCTCCACCACTGGAAAAGCCAACAGTAGGCAACTATAGTGTTAAAAATGGAAGTGACTCTTGCCTCCTTGCCAATTTTGGACTCCAGTTAAATCAATCATTTGAAGAAGGAAACCAGGTATTTCCATATTGCGCATAGATTTTTATAATTTTTAAATTGCAAATTGGTTGCTCTTAAATTTTGAATTCACTTTTGTTTCTGCAGACTAAATTTTTTGTCCACAATATTGATCCACATTCCAATGCAACTGGACAATGTGGGAAACATGATGCAACTCTGGTGCTAAAAGACAGTGTTGCTATTATTCAGTTCCATTTTAGAGTGGTAAGTATTTGAGATGTGTGTGGTAATTGTAGCATTTCTGCAGTGCGATGCTTGACAATAGAATTAAGGTAATGCATAATGTTCGTCAAATTGAGTGCTCTTGGTTACTGTCGTTGCTTATATATGCTGTTTTTGATTGCAGGATAACTCGAAATTCTTCTTGAATGAGGTGAAAGCTAATGTAAGCTTTGTTGTGAACGGAACGGGTAAGTCTTGTGCATTTGATACGATACAAAATTACGTTTGTATGGCGCCTTTCACGTCGGGAGGATGACCCATTATGGTACATTACAACTAGGTACAACTAAACACTTAGCTGTTTAAGCTAAGTGCTAAAATGAGACCTACTTTTAAAACTTGCAGTGCCTTGGATAGAGGAGACTGCTTTGAAATTTGAGCACTTGATGTGAGGCAATACTGGCACATTTTATTAGTGCATGAGCACTGGTGCTCAATCATGTAGCTTGAAACTTGCAATGAGCAAAATCGTAGTTCTGGCAAGAATATGGCACAATGTGAAAAGTTGAGAAGACTTGGGTAATGATCCTTTTTGTTATCTCTTAAGTACTGTGGCATGTAAATTGTATATTGATAGCTACTGTACACTCACTGCCTGCCCAAAAAGTAACCTTGGTTCAAACTTTCCAATCTGATTTATGGATAGTATGTTGGCAACCTTTTTCAAACTACTTTTGTAATCATCAAACGACCGGCTGGATATGATAGTTGTAGCTCTAAATTGTATTAACTTGTTCTTTTCTTTAGAATCTGTGCATGCCGACACCAATGGCAATCTGAGTTACTGGCACGCATCTTTAGGGAGTTCTTACTTGTGCAACAAGGAGCAAAGGTTAAGCGTGTCTGTCAACCTCACCATCAATACTTTCAATGTGTGGGTGCAGCCTTTCCAGTTGAAGGGTGAAAATTTCTCCAAAGGTAAGCTAAGTTACTGGTTCAGTGGTGGCAAGTTATAACTACTTAACCTGATTTTGGAATGCATCTTTCCTCAACATGTACTTACAGCCTTCAAATTAAGGCATTTACACAAGATCAACTATAGTAATTTACTCAGTTCAAGAGGATTCACCTGATTGCTTGTTATAGTCCAGTTTGAGGGTGTGGGAGACTTCCATATGTGAACTTGTGCCAATCCTCATGGATTGGTGCAACCACGCCAGTTTAATCTTTAGCTTTGTCTTTGCTGCAATCAAGTAGGATTGAACTAACTGCAATTGTCAAATAGGTTTAAGACCTGCAGAAAGGTAAGTGAATTAGGAATGGGTCAAATGGGGTTGGGGGGGAGGAGAAAGCAGCATATGTTCTATGAGTGGATTATTAATGCATTACCTGAATATCAATATTGGGTAGCTAATAACAGTGTCTGTACACTGCAGTTGAAGGATAAATTTCCTGTAATAAGCATGTTCATAGGTAAGTACATGCATTTTGTGTAATAGATTGTTTGCTAGATGTCACCTGAAGCCACTAAGTACAGTTACCCCCCATCTACTGCATTTGAGTAGAGTAACACTGACTTAAGTGCTTGACTGAAATGTTTTTGTGAAGGGTCAGAATTCAAAAATCATCTATTTAACTAATTTATGAAAGGGAGGATGAATATTGCAGTTGCGACAAATTTGATCATGCTGGTAATTAATATGCCTTATTAAATACTATTTTCTGTCCACAGCTGAACAGTGTTTCCTGGATGATGATGGCATTCTTATCCCAATTGTAGTTGGTGCTGCTCTTGCTGGCTTGATTGTGATTGTTGTGATTGCTTATGTGATTGGTAGAAGGAAGAGCTACGCTGGATATCAAACGCTTTAAATATTGATTTGGTTTTGATCCTGACCTGTGATTCCTGTTCATGGTGGTAGATGCAAGTTCATGTTTTGTCTTGTTTTTTTAAAGCTCCTTTAAATTGCACTATTCAGCCTTTGTTTCTTGGTGTTAAACTTGCATCCACACTATGGACACAGAGGAAATGTTGAGGAGTGTTCTGCTGGCATTATTTATGAAGGGATAACAAAACTCACCTACACTGACCCTCTGGCATTATTCCCAGGAAATGCTTTCCGGGAACAGTTTCTAAAAGTTGCTTGCAAGCTTGTCTTGGTGATGTGTGTCTGGAACAAATAACTTCCCTTAACATTTGTGGTCCTGTTAAACCACTTAATTGCCAGCACTTCTACTGTCAACATCTTATGCCAATGATTAAATTAATATGAAATTTGAAATGAACATGTGTTGTATAGTGGGATCCTAGAGATGTAGCTTGGTTTTGGCTCTAGATGTACCTGTGGAAAACTGTATAAATGTTAATAACAGTTGTATATAAACTTTTGGCTGATCTTTAAGCCATCAGTTGGCATACAGGACAACTTTGTTAGTTGGAAGCCTTGAATTATGCAGATAACGTTCCTTGTGTCAGTGTTCTAATGAGTGTCTTGACTTTAGTTCTAACTTTGGCCACTGACTATCTTTCTAATTTGACTAATAGTGTTGTGAGCACTGCACTCGGCTTTGAAATTTCAGTTTGGCCTTTCCTCCTGGAAACTCGGCTGTTTGGATATACTGATTTTACCAGGTTTATTTAGGATTTCTGTGGTTTAATTGTATGTAAAGTTTAACTCAAATTTATAATAAAGAATCTTCTGAAGCTATAGTGTTGTGGCTTTATTACACATCCAGTATCCAACTAGAAAGCTTCCAGGCAGCAACAGTACATAGTTTCAAAGCACAATGAAACTGGACTAACCAGAATTAGTTTTAAAGGGTTTCCAACCCATTCCTCTATTTAGTAGTCCGGTGCTTAGGTAATTCTAGTGCTTTAACCTTGCAACCACTGTGTGGTTCTTGGGTTTTAGCTTTCAGGCTCTTTAATGATAGTGTTTCCATAGGTTATAAATAATGTAGTGTTTAGAGTTGATGAGACTGCTGTGCATTGTCAAATTTTTGATCTTGGTTTACATAGCTTATATTGTGTGGAGCACCATTGCATTGGATAAACCTACCCGAATGTCTAGGTAACTCAGGTTGTGATTCGAGAGTTTCTTTACTCCTGTAAGAGCTTTATTATTCAGCCACTAAAGTATAGACCACTTTTAATCATCCTAGCCTGAGCAGTTATTTGGAACTATGTTCTTGTAGTTTGGATTGTGGAGCTGTTTTTGAGACTTGGCTATCTTTACCTTGTTTAAAACCTATGGAGTGAGCTGCCAATCCCTGCATTTGTATATTATAAATAGGAAGCTGTTCAGTCATCAGATTTCAAACTTGTGATTTGTGCCAGTGACTAGTTCTAGATAAAGCTATAGCAATAAATAGTCAGGCATTTTGGTGGATATTTGTATCGGATACTCCAGATTCAATTTGATTTTAAGCTTCAGTGTTGGTGTAAAGATAGGTAGTGCAGCAAATGCTTCTTTCGATCAGTGTTCAGTGATATAAAGCAAATGGATTTACAACCTTGCTTCTTAATTGTAGACTTGCATGAACCAAATCATTTGAGATGTATAGAAAACTGATCCCAAGCCTCTAATTACTTGCTTTTCTTAGATTTTAATTAATGTGCCACCTTGATTATGGAAAGCACATCTCTGAAAGTGTTGGCTTTTGAGGTTGGCCATTTATGGTCTTCCTTATATTACTCAGATGCAATGTAATTACCAATGCTAAAACCTTTCACTAAACTAGAATTGTTAAGTCATTCCTTCAGAAATGTGCTTGCAGGATGTTTACTTGATTCTCTGTGTAGTTCATCAGGAATTCACCTCTGGAGTAAAAATTGCTCATTTCTTATAGGGTGTTCAGCATTTTCTGTTCATTCTGGGACTATGGTCTTCATATTAGGCTGTACTGTTAATGTTCTTTTTTTCTTTCATTTTGTGGTGGGTCACTGACTTCACCGATTATTTGTTGATTTCTTCAAATCCAGCTGAAGACTGCAAACAGGATGAGAACTACATTGTACCCATTGCAGTGGGAGCAGCATTGGGTGCCCTAGTTTTAATAGTGCTTGTGGTCTACCTCTTTGGCGGTATGCGAAATCGTGAAGGATATCAGCAATTCTAAGCTTTGTGGTTTCAGGAGTGCAAAGTTTATGGTGCATTGTAAAATTGCACTGTAATTGTCAATTTGCACAGTGAAAGTGAATAAACCAGTTAATTTCTGGTTGCTGAAAAAGTAGCTTTTTTTTTTCTTTTTTGGAGCTTTAAATGAATTCACGGAAGCATTTCCAAGCCTGGATTTTATTTGCCTGATCACAAACATTTGTATGCTGAGTTTTTTGTAAGCTTACAAAATAAAACACTATGTACAGTATTTGCCGCACTGAGGCTTTGCTATATGTAGCATTACTGCTGCTAATAATGTTTTTGTCCAACCTATTCTTGAAGCTTTATCTTACTTTGCTGAATTTGCTATTAATTTCCATATGCAACAATAATAATGGAGTCTGATCCAGATCCATTGGTATGGTGTGTATTTTGTAGTGCATGTTTATAAAAGGCTTGAATGGCTCATTAATAACTTGCTTGTTGCATTGTGTTACAGGCTTGAAATGTGGTTTTAAACAATCTCAAATTGATCAGTGGGTATTGGGATGATTTTTCTAGGTGTGGCTGTCACAGCTGTGCAATTTGGGGATATTAAAGACTAGCAATTGTAGGGGAAAGGTATTGGAGAGTACAGAGGGAATGGAATGAGGATGAATGGCTGCTTTGAGAAGAAAGCACTGATGCACAAAAAAATTCTGAAACATTTCTGAGTAAAACTAAGCAATGCATACAGAACATTTAAATCTGCTTGGGGTCTTGCATGGGTTCCCTGTCTTGGGAGATTGTTCATTCTTGCTGATCTTTGCTGCCTATGAACCCCCAATGTGTGTTGCCATTTGAAGACCATGTCAGGCTACCCGAATGGTTCCCTCTGTCAGTTCACCATGCAAGTCAGCATCATTTGGCTGTTAACTGAAAACACCTGAAGCAAATGCATGCCTAGTGGCAGAATAAAATGGAATGCACTACTAATACTGATCAGTCTTTTAAATGTTTGGTTTGATCGCTTCCAGTGGCTAAGCTTTGGCTTACAGCAGTAGTTTCTGAAATTTTGTGGAACTAGCTCAAGAACGTTTAGAAGTCAGGACAAATGCTATGCAGTGAATAATATAATACATACTTTAGGAGTTAAATATATACAAGCAAAATTTTGTGCAGTCGTTTACCAAGCTACCTGCCAATGCAAACAGCCTATGTATATTTTTCTCAAGTCATGAATGGACAAAGTATTCTATCAGAATATTTCCCTTGAGTGACTAGAATAACTACTTAGAGAATCTGTCAGAACTTGTTTAGCACTAAAATTATTGTACGCATCACCTTTGTTCAGTACTTGTGGATACAGCAGTGTCTTGTCAAAAAAAGACAGCAAAGAACATTTTATCAAAAATGCACAGAAGCTACAATTCTAGAGCTTCATAAATGCTGTGGATCATCAAAATGTGTGAACTGTTCCTGGTGGCAACTGTTTAAAATTGAACATTTAAGTTTCTTGAAGTTGACCAATGATTAAATTCAAAGTTCCCTGCAGTGGTGTTCAAATCACAGTTGTTTGTGATTACATCCCTTTCTCGCAAAGCAATCATGTGGGTGTAAAATACTTCAGAATTGCCCCCTTTCACCATGTTGGGTGGCTTACTTGTGAGCAACTGGGATTCATGCGTTTCATAATGACATGTTGACATGAATAGCTTTGTTTGTCATTGCTTTGTTCCAAATACACCTGGCTTTCACTAACTCTCTAACTTCTTTCTATCGCAGCTGAAGAATGTCTTGCTGACTCTGACTTGAGTTTTCTGGTGCCAATTGCTGTTGGAGCTGCACTGGGCTTGTTAATAATTCTTGTCATTATCTCTTATATAATTGGGCGAAGAAAAAGCAGGACTGGCTATCAATCTGTGTAATCCATACCTTTCGAATGCTGCCATCTGTCTTTAACTCAGGCCCTCACTGTCTTTGATTAACTTTCTGTGCAAGCTTCTGTCAAGCATTTCTGGCAAACTAAGTACCAATCTATCTAGTAAGTATTGCGTCTGATTTTTAACATTTAAAAAAAATCATCTTGCATGTTGGTTCTCTCAATTAATGCCTTAGTCACTGGTGATTTTGTCATGTGATTTGTATTAATCTAATTTTTTTCTATGTTTATGGGATCTTCTGTTTTACAAATTCAGGAATGGGCCAAATACACTGCTGCTAAATTAATATTTGAGTAACATAACTTTTTTAGCATTGTATAATTTTTGGTTACAATCGGGCTGTAACTAAAAATAGCTTTTAGCTTGTCATGATTTGCAAACCATAAGATAGATAGACCTACTTTTAAGTGCAGTAAATTCTTGATGCTAGGAGATGAGCAATAACAGTGAAATGTTCCAATAAAGTGTTAATGAGACCTATGTGTAGACTGTTTATTTTAATGTTCATGATCTGGCATAGAACACAAGACTGCTGCTTGTTGCTTCAGTGTGCATCTGACTCTGCGTCTCCCTTGTGTTGCATTTTGCCCTTGGGAAGTTTTTTCAACTTTTTTCACTTTTTTCCTGGTTTAATATTTCAGGAAATACGCTTAGAAATCTTCTTGGGTGAGACCTTCTGCAACTAAATTGTTCCATTGCCAAATTCCAGGATATTATAAAGTTGCAACCAATCACCTGTCACTTCTGGGGTTTTTTTCTGTTAAAAGCACTCTTCTGCTTGGGGTGGGGTTGTTCTATTTCAAAAATATCACAACAGTTTATTTTGAGATTGTGCGCTATGTTTCTATTCAAAGCTCTAGCTAATAGCTTGACAAAAACACTTTTTCAACTCTTGCAAATGCATAACTTTTATGAGTTCCACTTTAGGATTTGTTTTAATATATGATAATCTCCTGAACTGGATCTGCCTGACACTTAAAATTAATGTTGTTTGCTGAATCCACTAGTTAGAATAATTGCTCTCATTCCTCCGAAGGTGGTGATTTGTGCTGGTGTGAACTTCCACACTAGCACCCATAATCTTGCCCTAGTCGCAGCTCCTCCCACATGAAGCCAGGTAGACGTATTTCTCTATGGGGAAGAGGATCCTTAATCTTTAACTGGTTTTAACTTGCTGAACAAGATATACTTTGGCTTCCTGTTCAGGTTTCATTCATGTGGTGTCATTCACTTGGAATCAGGTGACATGCTGGCCAAAGTTTTATAATACAATAAGTTTTTTTAACCAAGTGATTTAACTGTACATTTTTGGTTTTGACTCAGCAGAGTTTTGAGGATCTGTTGAAGTATGTCAGCTGATGTGTCTTCACATTACGACATACTAATATTTGACAGGGCAGATTGATGTATTACCCCCTAACTTTCCATTGTATCCTTGAGTTTTTTTTTGGATGAGCTTTGGTAGGTTTCCTCTATTGCTGCAACCGAGATCCGGAACTCAACAGCCTGCTTCTTGATTCTGGCACCCTGCATTAGTGCTGCAATGTGGTTTGTTGCACACTTCTAGGCTTTTAAAATATTTCCTATCAGGAGCTCCCAATACAGCTCTGTTGATTCTAGATATGTTGAAGGACAGTTCAGTGTATAATGTCAACACTCCCAGAATTCTCTACTTCAAATAAATCTTGAGACTCCTGTATAGAGTGGAGGTGGGCAAGAACAAACCAAGACCGCATAAGTAGAACATCAGGCAGTAAGGTTTATTTTTCTTCACTTTACAGTATATTCTGTGAAGCGCTTTGAGACGTCTAGAAGACGTGAAAAGCACTATATCAAATGCAAAGATTATTATTAAGGTGGAGGACCTTTAGCAGCTTATGAAATGCTCGTTTGTAAGTGCTTTGTGAAACAAGCTGAATGTAGAAGAAAGAGACAAGCTTAGGTGAATTTGGAAGAATCTATCTGAAATACTACAGATAGTTTAACCTTTTTTTGTAATAAGAATATACCAACATGCTTGAACAATTGAAGATAACTGAGATGATTCTTGCAAATTATACTGCACATGATTTTTTTGCTCTGTGTGCTGTTATATTTTCAGATTTAGTGCAGCAATTCCTGTTGCAATGTTGGCTAGACTACTGCACCAGAAACCCCTGCTGTTTGCGGCCTGTCTTCTGTAGGTTTGAATTGGCTGATTTGTCACTACCAGATTGAATTGTTTTGGATGTGAGACGTGAATACAGGCAGGTGAAAATCATCATTCTGGAAACAGGTTGACGCTAAGCTTACGTTGCGTTTACAAGCCTCTGTGAAGGAAACTGCAAATGAAGTTGCCGACTTTGACAAATAATGGAAGCAAGGAGGCAAGTCAGACCATTGGATCTACCTTGTGATTGGGGACAAATGTACAATATTTCACCATGTACAAGTATTTCCCAAATGGTTTGAAGGCTAAAGAGATCACTGATTCGTGGAGGAGGGAAGTGTTAAATTTAATTACAAATGTAATGTCTTAATCCTAATGAGTTTTAGGCCTGTTAGGCCAAAGTATTCAGGCCTATTCATCACCAGCTATCAAAAAGTGATAGAAGCCCCAAGTGAGACACTGAGTGACACTTGTTTTAGCTGAAGATGCAAGAGAGAAAAGCCCATAGCCACTTCAACCCAGTTTATTGTTTTCATCTTATTCCTGATTGACTACAGTGTGAAACCTGATAAATTGTACTTGTCACGCAGTCTGGAGATCATTAAAGGGCAGTCAATCGCTGTTCTTTGCTCACATTCCTCGTCTTAATTGCTGCAAACCATCACTGTGGCTGAAAGTGCCTGACTAAGCTGCTAAGGTTATTTCCTGCCGCAAACAATTCATGTCTCCATTTCCCTCCACTGATCACAGCTTCGTTGCAAATTCTATAATGTTTGCATGGCATTTTGAAGAAATGTGAGTCTGCACACACAGATGAGAATTTGTTTCTATGCAGGTTTGACTTCTATCTGCTCAACCCCCATTCTGAGCTATGCTGCGTTAAAATGTACTTGGGGAAGAGGGGAAAAGTCAGAGCCAGCTGGGTGTGTGTTTTTTTTTGCTCCTTTGGTTGGTTTACAAGGTGGCATCATTGGTGTTGAGCAGGTACTTGGGACCGGCAGACATTAAAAAGACTTCTGACCTGAATCAAAATGTTTTCTTTATACCTATCCAAGACGTGCTGACTTAATCCCTTAAATAAGATTGTTTACATTTACTGGTTCGTCCAACCTTGGGTTTTATATCAGTGTTTTAGGCAAAAAAAATTCCCACTTTCAAAATGGAAGTTGTTAATTTGCAGTAGTTGTATTGGATTTCATGAGGATTAATCCCAGACTAGATGTTGCATTTTTATTGATTTATCTGACACATACTATTCTGGAAAAATGCCTCTTAAATGTCAAAGCAGCTGAGACTTTATTCCACAAGCATTTATCGTTATTTAATCAAAACTTTGATTTATCCATTCATTCAGGAATAGATAATGTTGCAGTCATTCAATACATTGTACAATCCAGGTTGCTATGATGTTTCTTATGGCAAATATTGTATTGCCATAAGATTTCTGTAGTGAAGTTACATATACTAGCAATTTATTTTGTCCAGAAAAAGGTTTCAAATATCTTGACTAACCATTAATGTAGGAAATGCAGTAGCTGGCAAATGTCCTTCAACATTTTGTCCCAGCAGTGTTGTGTTAAAAATCTGCAGTCCTAGTGTACATAATACAGAACTAGGGACTGTCCAGTTGATTCTGTGCACCTCTGGATGGATTGCCTGTCACCTAAATTAATCATGCAATACCAGGATTGTATCTGGTTCTGTTCATTTCAGCTGCAGCAAGAAAAAAAGCTTGGACTGAGTTAACTTATTATTTATAATATAAAAAATTAGTTCCTGTTTCAAGATCAGGTGCTTTTCTGTCATCTGATATTTCACTAATCCAACTGGTTTACGTTTGATTTGATTGTTCTTTTGCTTGACAATTTTGTTGACAGACCGCTGCATAGTACGAAAAGTTTGAATGTGAAAAGCACTGAATGGAAAAACTTTGTACAGCAATGAAGTGAAAGCGGGGCCACACCCAGTTCAACCCTTCAGGACTAGTCCCTGGTTTATACTCTTAAGTTTTGAGGCCAGCTACTTAAAAAGATGTTGCAGGCCTGGGACTGTAAGGGACCACATAGCTTCTTGCCGAGTAGGAGTCTCCATAGTAAGATACCCTTGTTGAGAATTGCATGCACTAACCCTTAGTCGCACGCATTTATTTTTTTCAAGTATGCTAACTTTCAAAAGGCAAAATACTGCAGATGCGAGAAATCTGAAATAACAACATAAGTCGGTGGGAACATGTAACGGGTCAGGCAGCGTCTACGGTGAGAGGAAAATTAGTTAACGTTTCAGATCGATAACCTTTCGTCGCAATGGCGGGGGGGGGGAGGGGGTGCGACGTGTGGAAGGGATCAGGTTTTTTAGGACAAGCGGTGTAGCTATCTTTAATGTGCTACGAACAACACGACTTATTCCTTCAGTGCGATGCATCGATAAAAACCAAGCGTAATGTGCAGGAGTATGGGGCCGGGGAGGCAGGCGGCGGCTTATTTACTCCTGAAGATTCAGCGGAGACGGAGGACGGCGCCTCTGCTCGACGCCGTGAATTTTCCGTCGGGGCGTAGCGCCCCTTTCTGCGCGCCCGCTGCTATTTAAGCGACGGGGAAATGCGTGTCGCCTCCGAAATCTTTTTGGGGGGAATCCCCGGCCTCGGCCATCCCCGCGGAGCGGAGCGGACGGGCTTTTGCCCTTCCGCCCGCAAAGGCGCGCGGTCGATTCGCTGGGAAGTGCTTTTGAGTCGTCTTGAAGAGGTGGTGAGGCGCTGTATCAAGTTTATAAGGATTATTAAATGCCCCCCCACCCCCCTTCCTCCCCCCCCACCCCCCTTCCTCCCCCCCCACCTGGAGCTGGGAACCAGCTGCTCAGCAGCGCGCTCTAGTGACAGTCAGCAGGTGGGGCGGGGGTTACTCCACCAGCCAACGGGCGACCCGCCCCCTTTCCTCCACCAGCTGGCCAATCAGAGCGCGAGGGGGGGCGGGGGGGCGGGGTTTAGTGGAGCGGCTCCGGCCATTGGGCCCGGGCTGGCGGCCGGCCGGCCAATGGGCGGGCGAGGCGGCGTCCAATGGGAGCGGAGGGTGGGCGGGGCCGGGCCGGCGGGCGGCCAATGGCGGCCGAGCGGGGCTCGAGCGCCGCCAAGATCGGTTGAGGATGAAAACAGTCGCGAGGAGGAGGAGGAGAGGCGGCGGCGGCGGCGGCGGTGGTGGTGGTGGGGGCAGCGGCTCGAGGCCGTGGTCGTGGTGTTAGTCGGTGTCTGCGCCCGGCGCCCCCCCCCCCCCCCCCACCCGTCCCCAGACGAGAAAGCTCTCTCAAGACGAGCGGCCCTTCCACCCCGTTTCCTCCCCTTTCTCTCTCTCTCTCTCTCTCCACAACCGGCACTGCCCCAACCCGGTCACCATGTAATTCTCCCACCCACCCACCCCGACCCCAACACATCCCCCCACCCCCCACCACTCTCTCCTCCCCGCCGCCTCCCCTCTACCTCACAGCTTCACTCGGGCCTCCCTCACTCACTCGCTCGGCTCTCTCGCTCCTGTGTATGAGGTGGTACCGCAGGAGGAGGAGGAGGCAGTGGCAGTGGCCGAGGCAGAAGGCTCTCGGCGGTTGGCTTTTATTTTTCGAGAAAAAAAACTTTACTTCCCCCATCGTTTTCCCCTCTCTCCAGTGCACTCCCCGTTCGTGTTTTCTTTTAAAATAAATATATATATTATTGTCGCAAACCTTCCCCCCCCCCCCCCACACACACACACCTACCTCCCCTCCCCCCCACACCACCCCTCACCGCACACACACTCCCACTCCCCCCGCCGTCCCCTCACTATATATATATATATAATATATATATACATATATATTATATATATATTCCAAAAGTAAAGGGTAGAGAAATCGCCGCCCGTGGAGTGGAGACCCGACAGATTGATGTGTGAAAAGGTATCGCTCTTTTTTTTTAAAAAAAATTTATACCTATATAGATATATATCTATGTGTGTGTGTGTGTGTGTGTGTGTGGAATAGAAAGAAAAAAAAACATTTAACGTTAACTCAAGAAGCGGGAATTAACCTTTCTTTCCGAACTCTTGCAAGAGATTTATTTATATATATATATCTATGTGTGTGTGTGTGTGTGTGTTGGGGGTTGAAGAGGGCCCCAAGTTCCATCTTCGAAGGGTTAAACGCCTTTTTTTCCCTCTCTCTCTCTCTCTCTTTCTGTATATCTGTATATCTTTTTTTAAAAAAACACACATTATTATTATTATATTTTCTCTTCCAACACGATTCTCGTTCGATGAGGTGGTGGTGGGTGTGGGGGGGGGGGGGTGAGTGGGTAGAGGAACGTGTTTGGTGGTCTCTCTCTCTCTCTCTCTCTGGTGTGTGTGTGTGTGTGTGTCAGAGCCTTGAGTTTTCACGGGACGTTAACGATTGCCTTTTTTTTTAATGGGGCGGAGGAGCAGAGACAGAGAGAGAGAGAGAGAGAAATAATGTACAGATATTTTCCCCTTCAACCCCCCCCCCCCCCCCCCCCCCACACACACACACACACATCCCATCCCAGTTGGCTTGTGTTTGCAGTTAAGAGAGACCCTGGCTTTGGGCCTAGGCTGGAGAGAGAGAGAGAGGGAGAGGGGGAGAGAGAGGGAGGAGGTGGGGGTGAGGAAGGGAGAGTACAGAGTATAGGGTGTGTGTGTGAGTGAGTGTGTGAGTGAGTGAGTGAAGGCTTTGAGGGGCACTGTCCGACCCCCTAAAAAAATAAAAAGAGGGGGTCCCCAAGTTTTCACACACAGCCGAGAGGGGCACAGATCCCAAATGCAGACCGACCCGACCCCCCCCCCCCCACCCGCACCCCGTGAATGTCTCGGTTCACCGTTGATAGATGGTGCGGTTTATTTTTTTCTCTCTCTTTTTCTTTTTTTTATGTGTGTGTCTTAAAACCGGGGCCGCTGTTACCAGAGGAGAAGTGAGCGCTCACAGAGGCACTGCTCTCTCTCTCTCTCTCTCTCTCACTCCCCCTCTCTCTCTCTCTCTCCCCTCTCTCTCTCTCTCACTCCCCCTCTCTCCTCTCTCTCTCCCCCTCTCTCTCTCTCTCCCCCACACACAAGTAGAGACTTTTTTTTAAAAAAAACTCGGTTGTGATCCTTAATGTACATCTCAGGGTATATATATATATATTTTTTTTTGGTGGTGGTGGTGGTGGTGGAAGTTGAGTGAAGGAGGCGGCTCCCAAGCCCCCGAGGGGGGGGGGAGAGAGAGGTGGGGGGGGGGGGGGGAGAGTGAGGTTTGCTTCCAGCGTGTCCGCAAACTTTATAAAACTCCCATCATTTTTTTTAAAAAAAAATTATTATTTGTACATTTTTTTTTAAAAAATGGCCTTATCCGTTGTTGGTCAAAACTCACCCCTTCACCTCATATAATAAATGCGAAAGCACGAGTCGCTGGTGGGGGGGGGGAGGGGGGAGGGGGGGGGGAGAGGAGGAGGGAGAGGGGGGGGGGGGGGGGAGGGAGGGGGGGGGGGGGAGGGGGGAGGGGGGGGGGAGAGGAGGAGGGAGGGGGGAGTGGGGGGGGAGAGGAGGGGGGGGGGGGGGGAGGGGGGAGTGGGGGGGGAGAGGAGGGAGGGAGTGGGGGGGGAGGGGGGAGTGGGGGGAAGGAAGAAAAAAAAAACGCGCGCCTTTATTAAATAAAAGTGAGTGCTGTTTGGGTTTTTTTCTGTAGGGGGGGTTTTGATGTTTGTTTATTCGGCGTTAGAGGCCATGAGGCCCGGCAGCCCCCCCCCCCCCCCCCCCACACCACCCCCCACCCCGGGGGGGCGCCGCACCGTCCGCGGGAAACAGTCGTGGCAATTTGTTGCCTTTGCCGGGACTGTTGCATCGTTATTTTTGCAAATCAGGAGTTGTTTTTTTTTGTCTTGTGGGGGGGGGGCTGTGGGGAGGGGGTGGGGAGGGGGCTGTAGGGGGGTGTGTGTGTGGGGAGGGGGCTGTGGGGGGGGGGTGGGGAGGGAGGGGAGGGGGCTGTAGGGGGTGGGGGCTGTGGGGGTGGGGAGGGGGCTGTGGGGAGGGGGGGCTGTGGGGGGGGGAGGGGGGGGCTGGGGGTGGGGAGGGGCTGTGGGGGGGTGGGGAGGGGGCTGTAGGGGGGGGGGTGGGGGCGCTGTGGACGAATCCAGGCTTCAAATCGTCGCGTTAGGGGTTTTTTTTCCCCGCACACATTTGTCCACTCGCATTGCGGGGTTTACTAGGCCGCGCTCGTCTTTTGATGTACATGTGTGTGTGTGTGTGTGTGTACATGTGTGTATATATTTCCCCCCCCCCACACAAAAAAAAAGAGAGACAGAGAGAGAGAGAGAAGAGAAGAGCTTTTCTTGTTGTTGTGTGCGGAGAGAGAGCCGCCGGTTCCGGACTCGGTTCAACGTGACGTTTTACTCCCCTCCCGGTGCCTTGTGGCTTCGGCGCCCACCGGTAATTTAGCCCCTGTGGGACATCAGTGGGGGGGGTGGGGGGGGAGTGGGGGGAGCACCACCGACGCTGGAGGAGGGTTTTCCTTTTCCCTGTGACTGCACAGGGACACATGTGTTGCTTTCTCACGACAAACACCACCCACCCACCCCCGACGTGGGAGTTTCACTGGGGGGTCACTGAGCACTTTCTCGTTGCCGAATAGCGCGTAAGTTTTGTGGACTTCCACGTCGGAGCGCCCGGTAAGTGCTGAGAGAGAGAGAGAGAGAGAGGGGGGGAGAGAGAGAGGGGGAGAGAGAGGGGGAGAAGAGGGGATTCGTTTGCAAACGCGTGTAATTGCATTCGTGTTTCTGTTCAGGTGCTGTGTAGGTGGGAACCCTCTGCCTGTTCCAGCTTTGACCACAGAAGAACCCCGAATTCAGCAATAAAAGAACCATTAACATGGCCAAAGATGTAAGTGCTATATATATATATATATATATATACATATATATATGTATATATTTTGTTTTTTATTTCTTTTATTTTTGCGCTGTTTCATCGTTCTCCGCTTAAAAGCCCGTTAAGCGATTTTGACTTTTTATTAAAAAGAATGTAAATATCGGTAACTTTTTTTTTTCGCCCCGGCCTTATAAAGGTGTTATTTCACCAGTCAACCCGGAATGTCTATGTTGGTGGTGGGGGGGGGGGGGCTCTCTCTTCGCCTTTGTAGAGAAGGCTCCATCCCCAGGACCTTCTGCAGTGGGTGGAATGGAAGAGTGTTGCTGCTATCTTCCCTCTGGCTCAATGCCCCCCCCCCCCCCCCATATTCTTTTGCTCACTGAACTGAATGCTCCTCGCTCCCTCCCCTCACCTCACCCTGACCATGTCCCCCCCTCCTCGCTCCCTCCCTTCCCTCCCCTCACCCTGACCATGTCCCCCCTCCTCGCTCCCTCCCTTCCCTCCCCTCACCCTGACCATTTTCCCCCCCAATGCTCGGGTCATGACCCAACTGTGCAGCGCCTCGGGACGTCCTCCTGACGTGAAAGGCGCTTTATAAATGGAATCTTGTTGTTGTTGTTGTTGTTACACCCCACGGGCATCTCTCTGCCTCTTGTGGTGCCCACTTCTCCCTCAGGAACTCCCATCTCTTGTTTGCTCATTGCCTCTCCATCTCAGGTTTGTGACTCCCTTCGCTCTCGTGGCGTGAACAAAAGGAGCAACTGCATTTTTTAGAGTGTCACATTCTGTCGAACTGCCCCAAATTCTTCCAAGTAATCACTATGAGCTGCAAGGACTGCTCTCGTAGGCAGAGTGGCAACCATTTGCATCAGCGAGATCAGACACCGCTACACAGAGTAGCCGGTTTCTGTGCCATATTATTCAGTCCAACTGTAAGCACAATTCTTGGTGAGTCATGGGCTCTTTAAAGTCCACCTGAACAGCTTCCTGGAACATTATGGTCCCAATATTAGGTTCACTTATTTCTCTCATTTTGTTTCTACCCCACCATCAGGGATACTGAGGTTGTGCCACTAATCGTTGTTACCTCACTCAGACAGACTACGGGCCTTCCTGATCTTATGCCTTTTGGTACATTTACCTCGTGAATCATGTCAGAACAGGTTATCAACTTCTTAAGAAAAAGTTTGAATTATGTCAATGTGCCTAAAACAGTATCTTTCGTTGGAGAGAGAAGAGAAAAATTTGTGTTACTGATCAATAATGACTTGGCTTCATTTTTACTTCATATGAAGTTTATAGCTCTTCTGTCCCAGGCTGCGAAAATAAGTGTTGTGAAATGTGATCATGCACCAGCAATGGGGTTTTAATGTGTACTGAGCAGTCAGTCGAAAGATTGTGACTACAGTACATTGCATTTCTAATTACATTTCAACTGCTCCTATTTGAATTTCACTTCCACTGTGTGTGTGTTACTCACACCCCCAACTATTATAGTTTCTTGCAGTTGCTTCCTGAATATATGACCTCAAAAAGATGATGCAAATATATTTCTGGGGAGAAGGAGCTGCTTACTTGCAAAAACTGATCAAAAATCTTCTGTTGCATCAAAGGGATTCGACGTATGGAATAGCTGCATTGAAATAGTGCAATATTAATGGGGAATTGCACTTAACTGAATTGCTACATAACCATAAATGTTGTAAAGAGGGCTATTTTACTGGGGTGTAGCCCTTCCTGCTTTGTTTCAGTCCATCTTCAGAAACCACTTTTTTTTTTAACCGAACATTAGACATTCCCGGTGTGTTCTTTTGATGGTAATGCTGATGTTTTGAATGAAACATTCAGGACAGTAGTGATGCCCAACAGAAATGTAGTGCTATGCAGTGGATTAGTAAAGTTGCAGAGTGGAAGCTAGATGACCAATTTGAGGCAAAATTGCCTTGGGGCATTCTCCCACTATATCAGTGTAATTTTGTTGTTGGGTTGGCCCTCAGTGCTTGGTTATATAGCAGCGTTGGTGGATACCTGTGCACAGATTTCACACCTGACTCGTTTTCTGGTCATGAACAGAAACAAAAATTAAGTCATATTGAAATATTCAAAATTACCTTGATTACAATGCTTATGAAGCACTTAAACCAGCATTGTGTTGTGTTCTTTTCATAGGTTGGGATAATAGAAACTAATGGGGAGATCAAAGTTTTTACGGATCAAAATATTAGCCCAGCAAAAAGTAAGTAATTTTATTGATGGCTGCTCCAGTTTTTCCCCATGGTTTGAAGTTTTTTGTTTATCTGTCACCTTCTTCACAAGCACAGAACGCTTCATCTTCCTTCAGGTGGGAGGGTGGAATGTTCTGGGCTGACTCAAACACAACTATCAGGTTCTGTAAGCTTGTACAGTTTTGGAATTAAAAGATTTGGCAGAATTGCAGCGGGTGCTGCCTGATCTGCTCTGTTCAAAGTGGGAGAGGGGCAAGGAATCTTACTTGAAAGAAAAAGTTGAAAATGGGAGGCGGCAGCTTTGGCCTGTAAATTGATGATGGTAAATAAACTCATTGTTAGAAGCTATGGTGTTTCACCCTTTCCCTTTCTTGATCTCTTGTAGCCAGACCGCCTACTTGAAAACCTCTGCCAATTGTACTCTGAAGCCAGCCACTGAGATATGCTTGAGTGTGGCCTGAAATGTTTTTCTTTCCACAATACACCTCTGTAATGGTGTAATCAGAATGAGAATTTCTGACTTTGTGGATTGAAGGAATAAACCTTTATCTCATCAAACTGTAGTTATTGATGCTTGTGATCAAATGGCAGTGGACAAAATAGAAACATTTTCGACATAGGAGTCACTTGGGCCCGTCATATCTGCTACTGCTACATGTTTATCATCCTTTATCTCGTAGTAATGTTTAAACACAAGATGTTTGTGCGTTTTTGTCTGTTATACTTGAGCAGCCCTCGTGCAGTGGATTCTTTCCTTAAGATAATTTAATAGTTATTTGGGTTGCCTTTCCTGAAGTTGTCAAATACAACCATGTAAGAACATTTTGTAACTGCCGTCCTTCTTGTGTTCATAACCGTAGGTGACAATCTTGTTTTACTCTTTCCAGTTGCATTAGTGACAGTAGCATCTTCTCATCTCAGCACCCCAGGGAAACAAATTTTGCCAAAAACACTGGGGCTGTCAAATGTTAG